AAATTAACAGATCCAAAATTTGGTTCTTTGAAAGGATTAACAAAATTGATGAAATCCAAGTTAGACTAATAAGGAAGAGAGAGAAGAAACACAAGTAGCAACTATTAGTGATGAAAGCAAGGGTATCACTATAGATCCTGCATACATGAAAAGGATTATAATACATATAATGAACAACTATGCCAATAAATTAGACTACTTAGTGGAGATGGACAAATTCCTTGAAAAATATAACTTACGCAAACTGACACGTGATGAAATAGAAAATCTGAATAGCTTTATATATCTATTCATTTTCAAAAAAAAAATTTCCACAAAGTCCAGATGGCTTCTCTCCTAGAGTCCATCAGACAATTACGGGAGCATTCACACTAATCTTATACAAACTCTTTCAGAAAATACAAGGGAAGAAAGTACTTCTCAACTTGTTTTATGAAGTTAGCATACAAAGGGGAAAAATGCTTAACAGTGAAGAAACTTCGCAGACATTACCTTAATCAAGTGATCAAAACTGATGTCACCAGTAGCACTGGGACAAACTGACATCAGGTGGTATTCTGCCAACGAGGCTTTTTTGAAAATAGTCATGAGGAAGCATCTAACAAAGCCCAAATGAGGGATATTCTACAAACTTTGAAATATAATCATGAAAGAGAAAGAATACAGAGGAACTGATCCAGAATAAAAGAGACCAAAGAAACAATACGACTAAATGTAATGCACAATTCAGGATTTTCTTTTACTAAAAGGGACATTAATGGGATAACTGGTGGAATCTGAATAAGGTTTGTAGATAACAGCCTTATATAAATGTTAATTTTCTGATTTTGAGAACTGTACTGTGGAATGTAGGAGAATGTCTATTTTTAGGAAATAAACATTGAACTATTTAGGGGTGAAGAACTATCATGTCTGCAGCTTAGTACAATACAGTTCAAGAATAAAAAATTTTAGGGACTTCCCTGGCGGTCCAGTGGTTAAGACTCTGTGCTTCCATTGCAGGGGGCGCAGGTTCGATCCCTGGTGGGGGAACTAAGATACTGCATGCCGCATGGCTTGGCCAAAAAAAAACTTACATGCAAATAATAATGTCTTATACACACACACATATACACACACACACACACACACACACACACACACATAGAGGGAGACAGAAAAACAAAGAGAGAGAATAAAAATGATAAAGCAATTGTGATAAATGTCAATAATTGGTGAACCTAGGTAAAGAGCCTATGGGATTCCTTGTAATATTCTTGCCACTTTTCTGTAAGTCTGAAATCATGTCAAAATAAAAAGTATTAAATGTAGCCACTCTGAAAAACAATATGGAAATTCCTCAAAACGTTAAAACTTGAACTACCATATGATCCAGCAAATCCACTCCTGGGTATTTATCTGAAGAAAATGAAAACAGTAATTAGAAAAGATATATGCACCCTTACGTTCATTGCGGCATTATTTACGATAGCCAAGATATGGAAGCAACCTAACTGTCCATTGACAGATGAATGGATAAAGAAGATGTAGTGTGTGTGTGTGTGTGTGTGTGTGTGTGTGTGTGTGTGTGTGTGCGCGTATGTCTATATATATATATATATATATAAAATGGAATACTACTCAGCCATAAGAAGAATGAAATCTTGCCATTTCCAACAACATGGATGGTCCTAGAGGGTATTATGCTAAGTGAAATAAGTCAGACAGAGAAGGACAAAAACTGTATGATTTCACTTATATGTTGAATCTTAAAAAAAGAAACAAATAAGCCAACAAACATAAAATGGAAACTGAGTCACAGATTCAGAGAACAAACAGGTGGTTCCCAGAGGGGAGGTGGGGGGGGAGGAAGAGAGAAATAGGTGAGAGAGATTAAGAGGCACAAACTTCCAGCTGCGAGATAAATGAGTCACGGGTCTAAAATGTACAATGTGGGGAACAGAGTCGATAACTGTGCAATATCTCGAGATAAATGAGTCACGGGTCTAAAATGCACAATGTCGGGAACAGAGTCGATAACTGTGCAATATCTCGAGATAAATGAGTCACGGGTCTAAAATGCACAATGTGGGGAACAGAGTCGACAACTGTGCAATATCTTTGTATGGTGACATATCATAATTAGACTTATCGTGATCATTTGAAACACAGAAATATTGAGTCACTATGTTGTGTAACAGGAATTAACACCGTGTTGTACTTCAATTATACTTCAAAATTATACTTCAAAAACAAACTCATAGAAAAAGAGATGACTCTTCAATAAATGGTGGAAAAACTGGACAGCTACGTAGAAGAATGAAATTAGAACATTCTCTAACACCATATACAAAAATAAACTCAAAATGGATTAAAGACCTAAATGTAAGACCAGAAACCATAAAACCCCTAGAGGAAAACATAAGCAGAACACTCTTTGACATAAATCGTATCAATAGCAATATTTCTTTGGATCCGTCTCCTAAAGCAAAGGAAATAAAAGCAAAAATAAACAAACGGGACCTAATTAAACTTAAAAGCTTTTGCACAGCAAATGAAACCATCGACAAAACAAAAAGACAACCTACTGAATGGGAGAAAATGTTTGCAAATGATACGACTGATAAGGGGTTAATATCCAAAACATATAAATAGCTCATATAACTCAATATCAAAAAAAAAACCCCAAAACCCACAAACAACCCGAGTAAAAAATGGACAGACATTTTTCCAAAGAGGACATGCAGATGGCCAATAGGCACATGAAAAAGATGCTCAACGTCATTAACCATCAGGGAAATGCAAATTAAAACCACAATGGATATCACCTCGCATCTGTCACCAAAAAGAACAAATAACAAATGTTGACGAGGACAAGGAGAAAAGGGAACCCTCGTACATTGTTGGTGGGAATGTAAATTGGTGCAGCCACTATGGAAAACAGTATGAAGGTTTCTCAAAAAGCTAAAAATAGAATGACAATATGACCCAGCAATTCCACTCCTGGGTATATATCCAAAAAAATGAAAACACTAATTCAAAAAGATACATGCACCTCAATGATCATAGCAATGCTATTTACAATGGCCACGATATGGAAGCAATTCATCCATCAACAGATGAATGTATAAAGAAGATGTGGTATATATATACAGTGGAACACTACCCAGCCATAAAAATGTAATGAAATTTTGCGATTTCCAGCAACATGGATGGACTTGGAGCGTATTATGCTAAGTGAAGTAAGTCAGACAGAGAAAGACAAATACTGTATGATGCCACCTCTACGTGGAATCTAAAAATTAAACAAACTAGTGAATATAACAAAAAAGAAACAGACTCACAGATATAGAGAACGAACTGGTGGTTACCAGTGGGGAGAAGGGGGGGGGGGGCGACGGGCAAGAATGGGGTAGGGGATTAAGAGGTATAAACCATTATGCATAAAATTAAAAAGCTACAAGAATATATTGTACAACACAGGGAATACAGCCAATATTTTATGATAACTTTAAATGGAGTATAACCTTTAAAAATTGTGAATCACTGTATTGTACACCTGTAACTTATATAAAATTGTACATCAACTCGAGTTCAATTTTTTTAAAAAAGATCAATTTGTAGTTACCAGAGGTGGGGGATGGGCAGGGATTGGATGAAGGCAATCAAAATGTACAAACTTCTTGGTGGGAATGTAAGTCGGTGCAGCCGCTGTGGAATACAGTATGGAGGTTCCTCAAAAAACTAAAAATAGAATTACCATATGATCCAGCAATTCCACTGCCGGGCATATAGCTGGACATAACTCTAATTCAAAAAGATACATGCAGCCCTATGTCCACAGCAGCACTATTCACAATAGCCAAGACATGGAAACAACCTAAACGTCCATCGACAGATGAATGGGTAAAGTAGATGTGGTACATATATACAGTGGAATACTACTCAGCCATAAAAAAGAACAAAATAATGCCATTTTCAGCAACATGGATGCAACTAGAGATTATCATGCTAACTGAAGTAAGTCAGAAAGAGAAAGACAAATACCATATGATATTACTTATATGTGGAATCTAAAAGATGACACAAATGAACCTATCTTTGAAACAGAAACAGAATCATGGATATAGAGAACAGATTGGTGGTTGCCAAGGGGGAGGGGGTTGAAAGAGGGATGGAGTGGGAGGTTGGGGTTAGCAGATGCTTTTATATACAGAATGGATAAACAACAAGGTCCTACTGTATAGCACAGAGAACTATATTCAATATCCTATGACAAACCATGATGGAAAAGAATATTTAAAAAAAGAATGTGTATATACGTATAACTGAATCACTTTGCGGTACATCAGTAATTATCACAACATTGTAAATCAAGTATACTTCAAAAAAAATTTTTTTTAAAGGTACAAACTTCCAGTTATAAGATAAATAAGTACTAGGAATACAATGTACAACATGATAAATATAATTAACACTGCTCTGTTATATATGAGAGTTGTTAAGAGAATAAATCCTAAGAGTTCTTACCATAAGAAAAAAGTTTCTTTCTATTTCTTTAATTTTGTGTCTATGTGAGATGATGGATGTTCACTAAACTTATTGTGATAATCATTTCCTGATGTATGTGAGTCAAATCATTATGCGGCACACAAACTTATACAGTGCTCCTTGTCAATTACATCTCAATACAACTGGAAGAGAAAAAAGTGTTAGAAAAAATTTGTTTGGGGAACACTGCACCCAACTCTCCTACCTGGATATTTCCAACGTCCATTAGCATGTTAAGGCTCTGACAAGTCCTGCACAAGGAAGCCTGTTTGGTATTTAGAGAGCAGAAGATTCACTTTGTCTGAACGGGTATTAATTTCTGACAGAGGGGTTTCGCCAGTGTGTCAGACACTGGAACAGAGCATCAGTGGACTTGAAAATGTATAGGATTTCATCTACGCTGTGGACCCACAGAAAGTATTTGCCAGATCCCCACTGTCCCTGCCCCATGGCGTTCCCCAGGCTCTCACCTTCTGTGAGTGTCTCCTTCTGCTTCAGCACACCTGTGAGGGTCAGAAGATGGGGCACGGCTGCCCAGGTGTGCTGGGCTTGGCTCTGCAGGGTCAGGACCTGGCCTCCCCTCTGCTCTTCAGATGCCTTGAAAAAAAGCTGCACTGTGTTCTGGTCTAGCAGTGCCTTGGAAAACAGCCAAATCCTAGGAAGGAAAGCGATGGGGGCATGGAAAACGTTGGCATCTATCCCTGCAGGCAAATGGTATTTTTCCTCTTCAAATAAGCAGGCCAGCCCATAAGAGGTGCATTCCTGAACCCCACTGTCCAGACCCATCAAGGGACTGCCTTACTGACCCTCAGCCCACAGGGATACAGGGTAATAGGGGGTTAAGATCATGGGCCTTGAGGTCAGTCAAACATGAATTCGAATCCCAGGGCTACTGCTCACTCACTGTGTGGCCTTGCACAAGGACATGACCTCCCTGAACCTCAGTCTCGTCTTCTGTAAAGTGGAGGCAAAAATGGAACAACTGATGTTGATGAGCTGACATTGCTAATGAGTTATCGATGTATGTTGTTAGGGTGAGGGACAAGGGAAAAAATAGCCCCAGGAAGCCTGCTGTTAAACTTCCTGGAGCACTGGAGCAGGGGACATGGTCCCTATCATCCCTGTGGTATGTTATTGACAGGACACCATAAGAGATACTTCCCTCAAGTACCAAGACCAGGAACAAGGTCAGCCATGCTTTCCTTGGTGAACATTCACACAGGTATGTGAGGGGGCATGTGTTTTCCCATAAGGAAGGGCACTGTTTGCAAATAATGCCATTGGTTGGTTTCTCTTTTTGCACTGGCTACTAGGAAGCCCAGAGACAAATCTTCAGCTCCACTCTAGAAAATGGCATGCATTTTGTTTACCAATGCCACTCTGAGCACCTTCCCATTTCTCCCATTTTTCCTTCCCTTCACCCTAATTTCCTTATGTATTTTTTTTAAACCCAGAACAAGAGTTGGCAAGCTATGCGCCTGTGGGCCAAAACCAGCCCACCCCCTGTTTAGTAAATAAAGTTTTATTGGAACTCGGCCACACCCATTCATTTACATGAGTACTTGCAACAGAGACCACATGGCCCACAGGTCCAAAAGTATTTACCATCTGGCCCTTTCCTGAAAGTTTGCTAATTCTTGACCTAGAACAATATATATTTTCATATCTGCCTCAAACCCTTTTTAGATTGGGAATAAGGATGTGCAGATGGATGAATAGGCAGGTGGACACACAGGCGTAGATGGTAATTCCAGGGACAGGGTTATCTAGGACCATGTCCAAAGCCTTAAAGCAGCTCTATGGCAGCTGGAAGCGAACGTTCTCGCTGGCCAGAAGCTGGTTTGGAATTCACACGTGCTGTCCAGTTAATTCTAGGACAACCCTAAGAAGCAGGTTGAGAAACTGAGGCACAGAAGGGCACAGTGTCTCACCCAAGGTTCCCGAGGCAGCAATGGCAGAGCTGGGATTTGAACCCAGGCTGGCTCCCTATCCCAGGCCATATCATAGTGAACATGTCATTATGTGAAAATATAGTCAGAGATGACAAACTGGAGGGAAATACACCAACATATTCCCCATGACTGCCTCTAGTGATTTTTGGTTTACTCCTTATTCATTATTATAATCTTTCAAGTCATCTAAAATGAATGCTGTTGTAACTAAAAAAGAAAACAGATCAAAGTGGAAAATTGAATGCCTCCTCCCTTCCATTCCCTCAAAGCCTTAAAAATCAAGAATGGCACAAACGGGGGTCATTCAGGCATGGTTCCAGAGGAACCTCTGGATGATGATTTTCCATCTCCCAGGACGCCAGGCCTTTGACCTCGGAGGCCCCCTCACCCCTCACAGGCCACTTGGGGATGGGTACCTGTCTGGGGTGACCTTGCCGGACAGCTGCAGCTGAACAGCTCTGGGGGCTCTGAGGACCTCCTGGCGGAGAAGGACGTTCATGCCCCAGCCCCGGCTGCTCCTCCAGGTATCCTGGCTGGCAGTGGCCTCCAGCAGAACGAGCACCTCACCAGACACGTGCACAGACAGGGAGCCGTTGAGGTTGCACTCTTTGTAGCGCCCAGCAGCTGCCTGCACCTGCAGGGAGGCAGGAGAGAGCTCAGAAGTGGAGGGGGGACAGGAAGGGTCTGTGGGAGCTGGGAATGCAGAAGGCCCCTTCTTCCAGGAAGTCTTCCTGAGCCACTCCAGCTCTGAGCATCATCAAATGCAGCAGACTGCAAACACTCAGGAAGAGAAATGAGACAGAGAGAAGAATGGGGGACAGCCTTCCCTGACCCCAGCTCCTGGCCCAGGAACAGAGTCTCATCTTGTCCTTTCCACCACATATCAAGTGGGATTACTTTCTTACAAATGGGGCAACTGCAGCTCAGAGAGGGTCACATATTCAACCTGGGCCTGCCTCGCTCTAAAACTCATGCTTGTGCCTGAAAGGGGGCTGCTGGAGAAAGCAGAGGACCCCTGTGCAGCTCAGTTACAGAAAAGGATGTTCCTAACAGTGTGCCCTGGGGCCCAGAGGACCCCTAGAAGCTCTGGAGGTCAAAGGGGAGAGTGCCCAGTGCATAAGGAGAGGGCCACACCTGGGGTCAGGCTTGACCAGGGCAATGGTCGGGGGGCGGGGAGGAGTGGGGGTGGGAGCAGCGAGGCCCACTCCTCCACCAGCTCTGCAGGACCTGAAGCTCCTTTCCTGATCTGGGCCTCAGTTTCCCCATCTACGGGGTAGAAACTGGCCTAGCCCGGTCTGCACATTACAATCACATGGGAAGCTTTTATAAGTAAGCCTGGTCCCTCCATATTTGAATTGATAAACTGTAGATCCATGCAATGCAATATTATTCAGTGATAAAAAGAAATGAGTTATCAAGCCATGAAAAGACATGAAGGAAATGTAACTGCATATTCTAAACGAAAGAAGCCTATCTTTTATTTCAAGGCTACATACTGAATGAGTCCAACTGTATGACGTTCAGGGAAAAGGTAAAACCAAAAAGACAGAAAATGGCTCAGTGGCAGCCAGAGGTTAAGAGAGAGGGAGGGAGGAATCGGTGGATTGAGAAGGACTTTTAGGGCAGTGAAACTACTCTGTATGATACAGTAAACGCTGATATACGACGTTATGCATTTGGCAAAACCCACAGAACGTACGACACAAAGAGCGAACCCTAAACGTGAACTATAGACTTTAGTTAGTAATAAATTAACACTGGTCCATCAATTTTAACAAAGGTACCGCACTAATGCAAGATGTTAATAAGACGGGAAACTGTATTGTGGGGAAAGGAGGTATATGGGAACTCTCCGTACTTTCTGCTCAATTTTTCTGTCAACGTAAAACTGCTCTAAAAAATGAAGTTTATTAATTTTTTTAAAAGTGTGTCTGTGACCCCCTGACTAATCAACTCAGCATCTCCAGGCTGGGGTCCAGGTAGGTATGTTCTAAAAGCTCCCCAGGTGATTCTTTTTTTTTTTTTTTTCTTCGGTACGCGGGCCTCTCACTGCTGTGGCCTCTCCCGTTGCGGAGCACAGGCTCCGGACGCGCAGGCTCAGCGGCCATGGCTTACAGGTCCAGCCGCTCCACGGCATGTGGGATCTTCCCGGACCGGGACACGAACCCGTGTCCCCTGCACCGGCAGGCGGACTCTCAACCACTGTGCCACCAGGGAAGCCCTCCCCAGGTGATTCGAACATGCAGCTTGGGTTGGGAAGGTCCAGGGTACACCGTTCTTTCTCTGATTGGCTTCTGTGGGCCTGAGGGGTCCTACAGAGTGTGCATTCTCAACAGGGGCAATATTGCCCTAAATGCATAATTGGTTCTTAGCAGGTAGGTTAAGAAAAACAACAACGTCTTATATAAGGCATAGGTATACATCAGCACATAACAGAAATACAGGACATCTGTGGACTTAAGTTTTCATAAAAGGGATGGTTAGAGGAAAAAAATATCTAAAAAGTCTCCTTGGGCAGGGAGGCAATAATGAAAATTAGGTTGTGAAACACCAGCGGAAAGATACCCCGGAGGGATTTCAAGAGGGAGGATGGGGTTGAGAAGGCCAGGCTCCTGCCCCCATCCCCAGCCCCCATTCAATCACAGAGATAATGTGAGCAAAGGATTCTGCTGCTTTAAAAAGTAATAATAAAGGACAAACCCGTTAGGTGACCCAGCATCCAAGCTTCCAGCAGGACCCCCCACCCACCACCTGCCTTGAGTGCCAGAGGCTGCATGGGCTCTGCAGCCAGACTGCCTGGGTCCCCATGCAAGATCCCGCGCTTATGCGCTCCATGACCTTGTACAGGTCACGTCACCTCTCTCTGTCCCAGAGTCTCATCTGCAGAATGCCGAGACAGCAGCACCACAAGGCATCCGTGAGATGATCCACATAAAGGGTTTAGAACAGAGCCTGGCACACAGTAAACACTCAACGGTCATCAGCTCCCATTACAACTGATGACAGCGACGGCACGGTTTCAAATCCTAGATGCCAGCTGCCCTCAGATGTGCCATGATTTTATATATCTCCTTGAAAGTGAAAAGGCTGCTAATGAAACAATGAACCAGTGTGGATTTGAAGACACATCTGATTTCACAGATGCCGACATGTGAAAAAACGTGCCTCTGAGAATGATCAGTTTCCATAATTCAGAGCCCTTCTCAGGCTCCACTCAAGTTTTCAAAACCCACAGGCACAGCAGGCATTTAAAAATTGCTATCGAGGGCTTCCCTGGTGGCGCAGTGGTTGAGAGTCCGCCTGCCGGTGCAGGGGACATGGGTTCGTGCCCCGGCCCGGGAAGATCCCACATGCCGCGGAGTGGCTGGGCCCGTGAGCCATGGCCGCTGAGCCTGCGCGTCCGGAGCCTGTGCTCCGCAATGGGAGAGGCCACAGCAGTGAGAGGCCCACGTACCGCAAAAAAAAAAAAAAAATTGCTATCGAATTCCAGTCCTCATCCCTGTTGGGATTACCCATCCACACCTCCATCTCCCCAGCCCACGGCCTAATTCCTGCATACACAGCACACACGGCTTCCTTAGGGAAGCAACCGACGTGGGGGGCTTTCTAAGGAGCCAGCCCTGGAAGAGCAGAGCACAACCTTCCCACCTGGTCTCCTTTCTCTGCCCCTTCCTTTCCTTGTAGAGTGAAACCCTTTAGTGTTTCTACCCCACACTGGGTAAAATACTCTGGGGTTGAAAAAGCCATTCTGAAGGTCATACAGCTTCTCCCAAATCCAGCTACAGGACAGGGTTTGAGGACAATTCTGATGGGTTTGGAAACCTCCCTGCCATCTGTTCTTGATTCTGGAGGGACTGTCTGGCTAAGCTTAACATCGTGATGTGGCCCTCCCTCTGCTCCCTCCCCAGGGTCTCCATCCTCCTTTCCTTCCACCCCATCTCCCAGCAAGCTGGCTGCTTGGAGACAACACTTGGCAGGTAGTTGAGGTCATCCCAAAGGGACCACCGTCCATACCTGTAAGTTTGGAGGAAATGTTGGTCTGTGGGGATGTCTGAGCTGGAGGGAAAGCACCAAGTGGGAGTCAGACCCGTTCAGCTGGACTGAGACCTGTTGGGAGGGGGAGTTGGAGAAGCACGGTCAGAGGGAGCAGAAGAATGAGATGCAGAATCCCAGAAGGTGGCTTGCTGGCATGCAGGAGGAACAGGTCATCCCAGAGTCTGCCCCAAACCCGGGCCCCACAGCAGATGCCAGAAGCCACCACCCTCCCTGGATGGTTCTCAGCCTAAATCTCACTGAGGCTGCATTACTCGGAAGCTTGAGAAGTGAGGCCCAAGACACAGGGCTGGGAGGACAGCTCTGGGACCCTGCACCCCTCCTTCCCCTGCCATGGTGCCTGCTCGTGCCTCCCATGTCCACGGCTGCCATTTATTTGACCCTGGCCATGAACTAGGCACTGGGAAGCTGGCTTTACAATTATCGTCTTATTTAATCATCACCCCTGCTCTCATATGCTGGTGTTACTATTCCCATTTCACAGCTGGAAAAACTGATGCTCAGAGGGGTTAAGTAATTTACCCAAGGTGACACAGCAAGTCAGCAGTGGAGCTGGGATTTGAACTTGAAAGATCCTTGGAGATGGGAATAGAAACACAGTCATCTGTGCAGCCCTGGGACATCACATAGAGCCTGGCACACAGCAAAGACAATCTGTATATGGTGAATTAATGAATAGACCTACAGTGGCTGCTATATATTTACCAAAATGTATTTCCTTTCCCTCCAGGACACATGGCTAAAATTACATTTCCCAGCCTCCCTTGCAGCTGGGTGGGGTCATGTGATGAGCTCTGGCCAATGGACTGTGGGCAGGAGTGGCATGGACTACATATGGGCCTGGCCAATGAAAACCTCCTGCATAATTCTCACCCTCTTTCTCACCATCCACCAGCTGGGCAGAGCCACAAGGTGGAGGGAGCCTGGGTTCCTAGTTGACTGTGGAGCAGAGCCACACTGAACCGTGATGTGACTGGGGAATAAACTTTCACAGTAAAGCAAACTTTTATTACAATAGTGCATCTGATTCATCACATGCACACTGCCAAAATAAGGGCTGTGCTGTCAGTTTGCCAGGGCCACCCTGCCACCTCCTGTGCTGTCCCATACAGGACACCTGCTCGCTAACATTAAAGCCCCTCCTCCCTCAGCAAGGAGGCAGAACTCGGTCTTCTGACCTGGGACGTGACATCGTGGTTGATGGCAGCCCGTGCATCCACACCGCAGTCAAATGCTCCCTGGTGACTCCGCCTGAAGACAATGTCCCCATCCAAACTCAGGGCCTGGGGGAACCTCAGCTAGGAAGGAACAGACAGTACCCTTTACTCTCACCAACAGTCAAGTTCTGCCTGGAGGCCACCAACCAGCATTTGCCCGACGCGGGGATGGGTACCTGGGAGGAGTGAGCCACCTCCAGGGCCAGGCTGTGCCAGACTTGCCCACGCCGAGATCGGTCATGGTGCAGACCCTTTAAGTGCAGCAAGACTTTCTGGTTGACTTTCAGAGTGACCTCAACGTCCTTGTTCCTGGCCTGGGTGTACAAGAACCAACGGCCCTGAGAGAGGGGACTTCCCATCGCTGAGTGCCCGCAGAGGCCACCCCTGGAACCCAGTTAAAGTGCTTCCCAAGATTGATGGGTGAAAGCACAGTCTACACTGTCCTGCTCACAGGAGAGGAAGTGCAGGGCAGGTACACATGGAGTCTTTGAACAGGTATGATAAACTCCAGAGCCCACAGGTAGGATTAGTGGGGTGGGCTTGAGGGCCTGTGTCTCATTCACAGGGAGTGTCCTGGTATTAGTCTGTTCTATTCACTGCTATATTCCTAACGCTCAGCACAGGACCTGGCACATAGTAGGTGCTCAATAAATATCTAGAAGAACGCAGAATCACTAGTTGTAGTTGTAGCCTGAAACCCCAAAGCCAAAGCCACGCTAAGTGGAAGAATGTTTAACTCACAGTGTGGCAGGCAGAATAATATTCGCCCTCCCAAAGATATCCATGTCCTCAACCCTGGAACCTGTGAATTTGTAACCTTACAGGGAACAAGGGACTTTGCGGTTAAGGATCTCAAGATGGGGAGATTATTCTGGATTATCCAGCGGGCTAATCACAAGGGTTTTTTTTTTCTTTGTTTGTTTTGGGTGGTTTTTTTTGGCCATGCCATGTGGCATGCAGGATCTTAGTTCCCCGACCAGGGATTGCACCCGTGTCCCCTGCAGTGGAAGCATGGAGGCTGAACCACTGGACTACTAGGGAATTCCCATCACAAGGGTTTTTATAAGAGGGAGGCAGGAGGGTCACAGTCAGAGAGAGTGGAAGATGCTACTCTGCTAGCTTTTAGCAAAATGGACCATGAACCAAGAAACATGGGTGGCTTTTAGAAGCTAGAAAAGGCAAGGAAACAGATTCTCCCCTGGAGCCTCTAGAAAGAATGCAATCCTGGCAACACCTTGATTTTAGCCAAGGGAAACCCATTTTGGATTTCAGATCTCCAGAAATGTAAGATATATTTGTGTTGTTTTAAGCCGCTAAGTTTGTGGTAATTTGTTATAGTAGCAATAGGAAACGCATACACGTAGCTAATCACTTATTCACCCAACAACCATTTAGCTTCTGTGCACACAACGTACAAGTAGCAGGTTGCCACCTTTTCCCACCTGTGCTGACTGAGAAGTTAAAAATTTCTTGCCACAGAATTTTATCATTGGTGTACATCTTTAAAAGAATACGCAGCCTTATTTTAGAGCCTGGATGGAGGGAGAATAAACAAAGGTCCAAGAGAAGAGAAAAATGTGTGTCATTGAACAAAGACAGGGTTTTTAAAAGAACGGACAGCCAAATTAAACTACATTAAAGGATCCCCATCTACTTGGTTCTAGCCTGTTGTTGGCGGGTGGGTCAGATCTTCTGATTTTTTGAAAATTAGAAGCAGAGATCTGGGTTTTACTCCCAGTCTTCTGAGTTTAAATGTTGATAATTTATTATTTTTTTAATTTAAATTCTGACCAGGCCAAACAAAACACATCTGCAAGGTTGGATTCGGCCCATGTCACCATTTTGCAATGTCTGGTTTAGAAAACAGTACACATCACTGGGAAACATTTCTGCAGGTGTTCTGGGTGGCCATCCTGCCCGCTGTTTCCCCTCAGGAGCTCCAAGAACTTCAGCTCCTAAACCTGGGGGCTGCTTACAGCCCACTTTAACAAGCGGGGAAGTGAGGTCCCAGAAGCACAGGTCTCCATACTCAACAGCTGGCCCGGTTTCACCCTCAGGCCTTTGGATATCCCACAAGGGAGAAACCACCACTATCTTCCTTGTCCAGGGCCCAGCACACAGTAGGTGCCAATAAATGCTTGCTGGAGAATGGAGTCACCTCCCAAAGATGCTACTCCTAGAGGGGTCAGGAAGGAGACTTGGACGAGGGCCTATGGCCATGTCGTAAGTACTCGAGAAAGATCACTGTACTACACTTTGATCCTCAGAACCACTGTGTAAGAGGGTTGCTGTCTCCATTGTACAGACGAGGAAACTGAGGTCCAGAGACAGGAGATAATTTGCTAAGGACACAGAGGCAAAATGAGTTTCACTCCTAGGAAGACTAATGTCAAGTAGGTTGGATCAGGCAGAGAAAGTGGAACAGAAAACTCAGGCAGGGGAATGTTTTGTTCATCCAGCTGAGAGAAGATGACAGCTTGAACTGGGGACCGCTGGGGTGAAAAGATCTCTGGGATCCTCACTTACGATGTGCCGGTTCCACGTAACCACGCACCCCTCCAAGTTCCTGGGGATGGCCTTGCCGTTGTATGGGTGGGTCAGGCCCGCGCAGACCTGGGAGGGACAACCACACACACACACACACACACACACACACACAGATGGGTCAGAGGCAGATGGGGCCCTCCCTCCTGCTCTCAGGCCCCTTCCCACTGCACCCTGGAGCCCACTCACGTATGGGTGCCCGGCCTGGTAGCCCAGGACTACGGTCTGCAGGGTCTCCTCCTGGCCATCCAGAACAACCCTCGTCTCCAGGGAGTAACGCTGGTGCTGCCTGTCCGCCGTGAAGGTCTCCTGCAGGAGGATGCTTTGCGGGATGGGCAGAGTCCACGGGTGCCTGGCGTGGAGAGGGGGAAACAGGCTGAAGTCATTAACAGGCTGGCAGGGTCAAGGGACAACTGTGGCCCAGGGACTCAGACTGGGCCTGTCACTGTCTTGCAGAGTTAAGACTTTGTCACAGACAGGAGAAGAACATCAGGACACACATCAGCCCTGTGCGTTACATTTGCCAATCAACACCCATTCACCATCCCGCTGTGTCCTCTCGACAACCCAGTGAGCTGGACACAGCTGGGGTCACCACTTGGCAGCAGAGACCCAGGGTCCAGGCAGCACATGGGGTCTGGGGTCACACAGACTGGGGCTGGAATCCAGGCTCAGCCTTTCACTAGCTCTGTGACCTTGGGCAGCAAAGGACTTGATTGACTTCTCTGTACCTCAGTCTTCCCATCTGTCAAGTGGGGGCTAAAATAATAATACCCAACTCACACAGCAGTGGAGTTATTAGGGATAATGTATGTGCCACGAATGCAAACACCCTAGGGGCAAGGATTTCTGTCCTTTTTATTCTCTGCTGTTCTCCACAGGCCCAGAAAAGTGCTTGGCACATACTAGGTGCTCAATAAATATAAATGAAATAAAGAAATGAATGAGACCTTTGCAAATGACAGTTGCTGTTACTTTTGGGTTATTGCTGTTGTTTTGACAGTAGATGGCTAAGGTCCCTCAGCTGGTCAGTGCACAGCCTGGACTTCAGGCTGTTGACTCCAACCCTGTGCTGTTCGCCCCCCACAAAGAACAAGCTTTTTAACCCCTGTGCCTCCAAGAACCGAAATGGTTCCCCAGAGCAGCTTTCAGGCTGGGGTGATGAGACTGATTTCTGTGCCCACCGTAGCACACTAATGGAAGGGGGTGAGGGACATGGGGGCTTTCGGGCGGGGGGCAACTCGTCTCTGAGCTCTGGGTTCTGTCTGGGCCCCTCTGGCAGCACTGCACACCCTGCTCCCTGGTGACCCTCCATGCTAGAGAAGGGGAGACCCAGGCCGGCACCGCACCTCAGGGGAATCGGCCTGGGGGAAGGGGCCAAACATACCTAACGAAGAAAGTCCCCTGCTTCTGGTACAACCTCCTGTCTTGCATCAGCTCCTCCAGTTCGCCCTCCAGCTGCAGGCCCTGACGCTGGCCCCCGGCACTGGCCCCCAGAGCCGTCAGCAACAGGTGGCTCTTCCATGGCTGCAACGAGGACCAGGCGGATGCAGAGGGATGCCCGCAGGGTCCAAGCTGCTAAACATCCTGCGCCGGGGGTCACCAGGGGCAGCTCCCACTGCCCGCTCATCACCCTGGGGATGACCACCCGAGAAGGGCTGCTGCCTCCACCTCATCGGACCACGAGGTGGCACAGGGACACTGCCATGGCCAGACCTCCCCAGGTGCCCAGCAGGAACGAAGGACTTGGGCTTCCAGCTCCAGGTGGCTGACCTTTGCTCTGAGGTCTGTGCTAATATGGCTGGGGCCCATTTTACAGATAAAGAAACTGAGGCTCAGGGAGGCCCAAGGTCATAGGCCAAGCTAGTAGCCCTTTCCCATCCCAGGTGATGGATCTGGGGTCTCTGGATGGCAGAGCCTCCAGCACGGGCCGCCTGGACCCCTTACCTGCTCTGTATGCCTGTAGGCCACCGTTAAATTCAGCTCCTGCTGGGGGCCCTTCAACCAGCCGTGAAGGATCTTACGGTCCTGGCTGTTCTCGGCATGGATCTCACCCTGCATTGCTGCACTCCAGGCTGATTCTACTTTACTCCAGCTGCGAAAGAGGCTCCGTGCCACGGCTGTCACTGTGGAAACCTGCAGTGAGGGGGAAGAGGCTGACCAGGGCCTTTGCACACCCTATTTCCTCCTCCTGGGATGCCCTTTCTCCCCAGTCCCACTTGGTGAACTCCCACTCATCCTTCAAAACCCCTCCAATGCCATCTCTGCGAGGCCTTTCCCGATGGGTCCAAGCAGAATTGGTTGTTCCGTACAGGGTCATGAGGAAAGAGGAAAAACTGCTCTCTCTCTCTCAACCCCGAACAGAGAGAGAATCTGAGTTATCAGAGAAGACCATCCCTTCCCCTCTCTCCCCTTCAGCTCAAGGAGGGAATAGAATCTACTGAGCCATTGTTATGAGCAGGCAGGGTCTCTGTGTCTTGAAGGGCACACGCTTGCAGGTGGCTTTCTGTCCCTGCATCATCATCATGGTGTTCAGAGCCCTGGGAGGAGTGTTACTTTGGCTTGCACTGGGGCTGGGGGAGGCACAGCACTTCAGCCCTGTGCTGGGCCGTGTACCCCAGCACAGCGCCCTTGGCACAAGCCCTACTAGGAACATCAAGGTGCCTTGTGCCCGGCTGGCCTCTGTCCCTTGTTCACGCAGCTCCCTCGGGGGACTCACGAGGAGAGGTGACAGGGCCAAGATGGGCTTTGGGAATTACTGAACCTCCTGACAAATACTAGAACTCCCCAAGACCTTACCCCCTATGTCACCAACCTCAGGTCACCCCCAGAACCTGCAGACCCTTCACTGCTGGATTCCCCATTTCAGCAAACGGCACCTGCTTCCACCCAGCTGCTTGAACCAAAAACTTGGGGTTACTTGTCTTTTCTTCACTCCCTCCCCCAACCAATCCATCAGCAAATCTGTCAGCAAATCAGTCAGCTACACCTTCAAACCACCAGGCCACCATCTGCCCCTCCCTGGGCTGGGTCATCTGAAGGAACAGGCTGGTCATCCCCACCCTGTATCCTATCCTGGGTCTATCTATCACACAGCAGCCTCCTCAGGGTCCCTAAGCTTGCCAGGAGTCACCTGCTCCTTCCGACTCCACTGGTGCCACCTGGCCCCTGCCTCAGAGGGGACTGAGCTGTCCCCTAGCACGCCCACCGAGCTGCCTCCTTCTGGGCCCCAGGCCTGGACCACACTGTGTCCGCTCACCATCCCAACACAGGGAGAGTCTTGATGTGCCAGGTTCCCATGTGTGACACCAGGCAAGTCCTTCTCTGGTTGGTTTTCTTCCAAACTCTGTTACGCTTCTACGGCCAAACGATCAAATGTGTGCAAAGAAGCAGACTTACACTGAGCAGGTGGTGGGAAACTGACCTACATCCTTGAAGTTTCCATTCTGGATTTAAGCAATGATGTCTACCTGCTTCCGAGGTACCACTTCAAACTACTTTAATATTTTACTTTATCAGCTGCTAAGCAAGAATATGGGAAACTGAGATTTATTTTGTTTCCCTCTCCCAAACCCACTTGGCAACAAACTCTGAAGAATGTTAATAGTGTGTGAGCCAGGTGTCACACATCTGCGACCTGTTACCGACCCCGGACCTCGGTTTTAACCCCCTGCACAGAAGATCTAAGCCGCAGGAAATCAGGCTCCCTGTCTGCGGGGGCGGGAGTGAGGGGCAGGTGGTGTGGCCCAGCATGCTCACCCGGAGGTAGGTGGTAGCTGGGGTGTAGACGTGGACCTTGACCTCCCTGTGGAGGCCCTGGCTCTTGCAGGCCATGTTCATCACCAGATTCTTGAGGGTCCAGGCCTTGCCCAGCGTCAGCTCCACAACAGCCTGGAACGTGGCTCGGTGGGGCCAGTACAGCCTGTGAGCCGCCGAGACCATCAGCCATGGACTATCCAGGTTCAAGGCTCCTGAGAGAGGCAGAGAGGAAGAAATGGCATCCCCGGCAAGAGGGGAGCTTTTGAAGAAGGGCGCGCAGGCAGCGAGCTAGAGGCTCCCATAGTCTCATCACGGTCACTATGGGTGTATCTCAAAACTTGGAATGGGACGGAGCATGAGGCAACTTTCTGGAATGATGATAACGTTCTGAATTTTGGCAGGTGCTTGGGTTTCATGGGTCTGTGCACCTGTCGAAACTCATCAAATGGTACCCTGGAGATGTGTGCAATTCGCTCTAGCTAATGATATAATACTGAAATGTGTAGGGGTGAAATTGTACTGAAGTTTACAACTTAATTTGACCTGCACCAACAAATAAGATGGATGGATAAGTGGGCAGATGTGTAAGAAGGCAGGTGGAGTAAAATGTTAATGGTAGAATCTAGGTTGAGAGTATGTTGGTGTTCACTGTACAACTCTTTGCACTTTTCCGTATGTTTGAAATTTTCTCATGATGACATATTAGACAAAAGAAATGCTGGGACAGTTGGAGAGGGGGCACTGGGGTGTGGTGATCAAGAACATGGCCTTTACTCTTCCAAGCTGTGTGACCTCTTCGAACCCGTGCTTCCATCATCTGTAAAATGGGTACAACAGTACTGATCACTGGGTCTTGGGATAGAGGAAGCACCCATTCAGAAGAGTAAAGACCAATCATCACCATCATCAAAAAGTTGACATTTTGCGGGCTTCCCTGGTGGCGCAGTGGTTGAGAGTCCGCCTGCTGATGCAGGGGACATGGGTTCGTGCCCCGGTCGCAGAGCGGCTGGGCCCGTGAGCCATGGCCGCTGAGCCTGAGCGTCCGGAGCCTGTGCTCCACAACGGGAGAGGCAAAAACAGTGAGAGGCCCGCGTACCGCAAAAAAAAAAAAAAAAGGTGACATTTTGCATAAACTTTTGCCCTTCCATGATGAACTAAAACCAGGTTGCTGGACCCCGCTCATATTTTGTAATAAATACTCCCAATCACTCAAGGACTAATTCAGTAAATATTGCTCGAGACACTTGGGACTCGGCAGTGAACAAGGAGGCACAGTCACTGCCCTCATGGAACTTACAGTTTGGGGGTGGTAAGGGGATGGGGGAGAGATCTCGAACAAATAAACATACAATGAGACCTACCTAAGTAGAAAATGCTGAGTGCTAGGAAGGAAAAGAAAGAGGGAGTTAGACTAAGGTCAGGCAGGTCAGTGAAGGCTCCCATAAACACATAACCATTGAGCTGAGCCCTAAATGAGAGGCAGTGGAGTGTGTCAAAGGGAAGAAACCCTCCCTCACCTCCTGCTGGAGATGGGAGACTCACTATGTGGGGAAACTGAGGCGGAGAGGCCAGGATGCAGGGAGATCCAACACAGTGAGGGCAGTGGGTGAGCTGCCAAGTTGAGAACAGGGAGATACTGAATAGAGAGCAGCCCAATGCCCTGCCCTGAGGTACCAGTCCCACAGGAGATGGGAAGATTGCTCCACAGAAGAACAGAATAACTGAAAAAAAAAAAAAAGGTCCACAGATATGGGCCCCAGGTCCTCAGGGAGAGCCAGGACCCCACCCAACCACGCAACAGGGAAGCCCACCAGTCAACAAGAGCACGTCCACACATACATATATACGACGGAATACTACTCAGCCATAAAAAGAATGAAATAATGCCATTTACAGCAACATGGATGAACCTAGAGATTATCATACTAAGTGAAGTAAGTCAGAAAGAGAAAGACAAATACCATATGATATCACTTATATGTGGAATCTAAAAAAATGATACAACTGAACTTATCTATGAAACAGAAACAGACTCGCAGACACAGAGAACAGACTTGTGGTTGCCAAGGGGGTTGGAGGTGAGGGAGGGATGGATTGGGAGTTTGGGACTAGCAGATGCAAACTATTATATATAGGATGGATAAACAGCAAGGTCCTACTGTATAGCACAGGGAACTATTCAATATCCTGTGATAAACCATAATGGGAAAGAATACAAAAAAATGCATATATATGTATAACTGAATCACTTTGCTATACAGCAGAAATTAAGACAACACTGTAAATCAACTACACTTCAATAAAATAAAGTTTTTAAAAGACAGCACCACCCCCACACACATAGAGCATCCTTCCAAACAGGTTCCAAGTGACCAACTCTTAAACAAAAGCACATATCCAAGTCTTGCCTGGCATGTGGGAAAAGCCACTAGCAGGAGCTTCAGAAATAAAAATAAAAAAGAAACTCAGGGAGAACAGACCAAAGCCGCCAGTTCTATAATTTATGCTCTCAGAGAAGAGAAGATAATGCATTCATGGAGCAGGACACTCTAAGAAAAGAACTTTCAGGAACAAAAAATGAGCTCTTGGGAATATAAGCCAGCTAAAATTAAAACAACAGTACAGGGGCTGGCAGATGAAGTTGAGGAAATCAGCCCTCACAACAGAACAAAAGGGCAAAGAGACAGAACAAAGGAGAGAAAAGAAAGAAAATTAAAGGCTTAGTTTCTGAGGAAAACATCTGACCAACAGGAATTCCAGAACACAGAAGGAAGGAAATTACCAAAGAAACTGTACAAGAAAATTACCAAGACCCAAATGGTGTGTCTCCAAACGGAAAGGGCCTAAGTGCTCAGTACGGTGAATGAAGAGAGATTCACACCAAGGCTCATCATCATAAGATTTAAAGACACTAGGAATAAAGAAAAGCTCCTGGAAGCTTCCAGAGAGTGAGAAAAGGGTCACAGACCAAAGATGATGGATCACAAATAGCACCAGACCTCTCAACTGATTCAAATCAACAGTGGAGCAATGTCTTCAAAAATCCCAAGGGAAAATATTCCAGCCTAGAATTCTCTATTCAGCCAAATCAAATAAAGACAGTTTAGGGACTTCCCTGGTGGTCCAGTAGTTAAGAGTTTGCCTTCCAATGCAGGGGGTGTGGGTTCCACCCCTGATCGGGGAGCTAAGATCCCATATATCTCGCGGCCAAAAAACCAAAACATAAAACAAAAGCAATATCGTAACAAATTCAATGAAGACTTTAAAAACGGTCCACATCAAAAAAAAAAAAAGAGTTTAAACATTCAGGGTTTCAAAATGTTTACATCCTGTTATAGGGTGAATTGTGTCTGTCAAAAAGATATGAAGTCCTAACCCCTGGTACCTCAAAATGTGACCTTATTTGGGAATGGGGTCATTGCAGATAAAATTAGTTAAAGTAAGATCATACTGGAGTAGGGGAGGCCCTAAATCTGATATGAGTGGTGTCCTTATATGAAGAGAGAAGTTTGGACACAGACACACACACACAGAGCACCATGTGACAACAGAGGCAGAGATTAGAGCAATTAGAGCTACAAACCAAGGAACATCGAGCATCAGTGGTCACCACTAGAAGCAGGAAGAGGCGGGAAGGATTCTACCCAGGGTCACAGAGAGAAAGTGGCTCTGCTGACACCTTAATTTCAGAATTCTAGTCTCGAGGACTGTGAGAGAATACATTTCTGTTGTTTAAAGCCACCCAGTTTGTGGTAATTGGTTAAAGCAGCCCTAGCTAATGAATGTATCTCCCATGCACCCTCTCTCAGGAAACTACTGGAAGATGCACTCCATCGGAACAAAAGAGTTAACCAAGAAAGAAGATGACATGAGTGCAAGAAGCAGGGGCTGTGACCCAGAGAAGTGGAAGGCACTTCCAGGATGATAGTGAGGGGATGCCCTAGGACTACAGCTGTGCAACTGGTCTACACTGGAGCAGCAGAACAGAGGCTCCAGGAAGAGGGTCTACAAGAAAAATATGAGAACTGATTGAAGCTGATAAGTGATCTGACGTGTTCAACAACCTGGAGAAGAATTTTGCATTGTTGCTAAAAATTCTGGGAATAATCAGTAGGAAGAAAATAGAAAACTAATCAAACAGGGAAAAAAGGTTCTTATAGCTCCAGGAAAAACAAAATGTTAGAATCCTAGTATACCATGTGCCTCAGCTGTGAGGACATTTATCACCACAATGATGTAAACATTGAATATTAACAAACTATAACTCTTTTAGGGGGATGGAGGGAAATAGGCACGTGAAAAGGGCTGGTGTAATAGTTAAATTTTCTTCCTCTCTAGTAAGAAATATATTGAGAATGCCTATGAAAGAAAAATCAAGAAATAAGTGGGGGCTTCCCTGGTGGCGCAGTGGTTGAGAGTCCGCCTGCCGACGCAGGGGACGCGGGTTCGTGCCCCGGTCCGGGAGGATCCCACATGCCGCGGAGCGGCTGGGCCCGTGAGCCATGGCCGCTGAGCCTGCGCGTCCGGAGCCTGTGCTCCGCAACGGGAGAGACCAGAACAGTGAGAGGCCCGCGTATCGCACAAAAAAAAAGAAAGAAAGAAAGAAAAAGAAATAAGTGTGATTATTTTAAAAGATGGAGGGTCTGACGAGAAACAGCAAAAAGAATTTACAGTGCTTGCCATTTTCAGCAAAATTTGGGATTGGAAGATGTGAAGCAGAAAATTACTGTATTTGCTATAACTTTAACTTTTATAAACTTAAAATTTTTTCAAGTACATATTACATGAACACAGAGAATATTATGAGTTCCCATATAACACTCAGTCATCTTCAACAATTACCAAGGCATAGTCTAATTCACTTTTTAAACTATGTATTACTTCAATAAAAATAAAAATTAGTTCAAAAAATTAATTCAAGGATAAAACCATGGTAAATTCATTTTCTAAAGGAGAGAAAGAGTGTTCCAGGGAGAAAGAACAGCAAGTGCAAAGGCCCTGAGGTATGTCTGGGGAACAGAAGAGAGGCCAGTGGGGCTGCAGGATGATGGGCAATGGGAAAAGGTTGGAGATGAGATAAGGTTGGAGAAGTAGGCAAGGCCCTGTAATGTAGAGCTCTATGGGTGAGGGTAAGAATGTGAGGGTAAGGACGTGAGGGTAAGGATGTGATTTTAAGTTTCCTGGGCCGCATGTGAGGTCTGAGTCTTGAATTACCCAGGCAAACAAAAGGGAAGGGTGTTCCAGTTAGTGGGCATGGCTTGAGCAAAGGCTCAGAGGGCAGAAATCTTCACCACTAGCCAAGGACACTCCCTAGATGACACTCACCTTCCCACTTCCACAGGGTGGCCCTGGATTTGTCCTTCCACTGCAAGCCTGCCACAAAGGGCAGCCGCCCATTGTACTGCACCTTCAGGTATGTGCTGCTCTCCACGTGGGGCTGGCGGAGGCTCAAGTGGTGCAGCTGCGTACGGAAATCCACCTGCCTCGCGGGCACCTGCAGCACAAACTGGAGGAGACCCACACCCAAGATGCAAATCAGATCATGCTGTTCCTGACCTAGAACATTCCATTGGCTCTCCACAGCAACCTGAGATCCCTGGCTACCAGGAATTGCCCCACCCCACCCCACCCCAAAAAGAAACCCTGCACTCATTAGCAGTCACTCCCCATTGCCTCCTTCCTGTAGACCCCGGAAACCTTTAACCTACTTTCTGTCTCTATGAATTCACCGATTCTGGACATTGCTTACAAATAGAATCATACAGTCTGTGGCCCTTGGTGTCTGGCTTCTTTCACTTAGCATGATGCTTTCAAGGTTCATCCATGTTGTAGCAGGTGTCAGAAGTTCATTTTTATTACTGAATAACGTTCTATTGTGTGGATAAATCACTTTATCTATTCATCCATTGATGAACATTTGGGTTGTTTCTCCTTTTGGGTTATTATGAATAATGCTGCTATAAATGTTTTGTGTGGACATAAGTTTTCAATTCTCTTGAGTACCTAGGAGTAGAATTGTTGGGTCATATGGTAACTCTGTGTTTAACATTTTAAGGAAACACCAAACTCTTTTTCCAGTCACGCCATTTTATGATCCCACCAATATGAGTTCTAATTTCCCTGCATCCTCACCAACACTTGTTATTGTCTTTTCTTTTTTTTTCCGTTTCAGCTATGCTAGTGGATTTGAAGCAGCATCTCACTGTGGTTTTGATTTGTATTTCCCTACTGACTAATTAGGTTAAGCAACTTTTCATGTACTTATTGGCCACTTGTATACCTTCTTCAGAGAAATATCTATTCAAATCCTTTGTCTTTTTCTTGTTGAGTTGTAAGAGTTCTTCATATATTCTGGATACAAATCCCTTATCAGACATATGATTTGCAGATGTTTTCTTCCCTTCTGTGGGCTGTTATTTCACTTCCTTGATGGTGTCCTTTGAAGCACAAATGTTTTTAAGTTTGATGAAGACCAAAGTATTTTTGTTATTACTTATACTTCAAGGGTCATATCTCAGAAACCCTTGCCTAATCCAAGGTCATAAAGATTTACTCTTACGTTTTCCTCTAAGAGTTTCATAATTCTTAAATTTAGGTCTACAACCTATTTTGCGTTTGTTTTTATATATGGTATGAGGTAAGGGTCCAACTTCGTACTCCTACACGTGAATATCCATTGTCCCAGCACCATTTGTTGAAAAGACTATTCTTTTCCCTCTTCAATTATCTTGGCACCCTTGTCGAAAATCAACTAACTGTAAATACGAGGGTTTATTTCTGGATTCCCAGTTCTACTCTGTTGGTCTATATGTCTATCCTTATAACACTACCGTAATACTGTCTTAATTACTGTAGATTTGAAGTAAGTTTTGAAATCGATAAAAGCGAATCCTCTAACTTTGTTCTTCTCTTTCAAGACAGTTGTGTCTACTCTGGGTCCCTTGAAATTCCACATGAATTTTAGGATCAGCTTGTCAATTTTAGCAAAAAGATAACTCGGGTTTTGATAGGAATAGATGGGGACCATTGAATCTGTAGATCAATTTAGGAAGTATTGCCAACTTCACATTAAATATTCCAATCCAAGTACATGGGATGTCTTCCCATTTATTTAGCTTTTCTTGAATTTCTTTCAACAATGTTTTGTAGTTTTGAGAGTATTAGTTTTACCTTCTTTTGTTAAATTTATTCCTAAGTATTATTCTTTTTGATGGTAATGTAAATGAAATTGCTTTCTTAATTTCATTTTCAGGTGTTTCATTGCTAGTGTAGAGAAATACAACTAATTTTTGTATATTACTCCTGTATCCTGAAACTTTGATGAACTCATTTATTAGCTCTGATAGATTTTTTGGTGAGTTCATTTGGGTCTTCTATATACAAGATCGTATCATCTGTAAATAGAAATAGTTTTACTTCTTCCTTTCCAATCTAGATGCCTTTTCTTCATTTCTTTTTTCTTTTTCTTTTTTTCTTTCTTTTTGGCCTAATCACCTTAGCTAGAACCTCCAGCACAATGTTAAATACAAATGGTGAAAGCAGACATCCTACCTTGTTACTGATCTTAGAGGGAAAGTACTTAGCCTTTTGCCATTAAGTATGATATTAGCTGTGGGTTTTTCATAGATGGCCTTTATCAGGTTGAGGAAGTGCCCTTCCATTGCTAGACTGTTGGGTACTTTTATCATGAAAAGGTATGGCGTTGTGCCAGATACTTTTCTGTGTCTATTGAAATGATCATGCGGTTTTTGTCCTTTATTCTACTAATATGATGTATTACTTTGATGGATGTTCAAATGTTACCAACCTTGCATTCCTGGGATAAACCCCATTTGGTCATGCTGTGTAATCCTTTTTATATATTGCTGAATTCAGTTTGGTAGTATTTTCTTGTGGATTTTGCATCTGTATTTGTAAGAGATAATGGTCTTTAGTTTTTCTTTTCTTATGATGTCTTTCTCTGGTTTGGGCATCAGGATAATAATGGCTGCATAGAATGAACTGGGAAGAGTTTTCTCTTGACAGATCATTTAGTCAATTATTTTATAGTAAATTTATTTTATAGTAAATTAAGTCTGGCACTATTCAGTCCAGCCAAGAGCCTGAGGTTTGAAAGGAGGCAGACTGGACTTTCAATCCCAATTCTGCCACACAGTAGCTGTGAGACCTCAGCTAAGTCTGTTTACACCATTTCTCTTCTGTAAAGTGAGAACAGATAATTCTTGCCTCACAAGGATTAAATGAGATAATACAAACAAAGCCTCTGACACATAGTCTGGCAATAATTAATGGCTCACCATTGATCACTCTGCCTTTCCCTCTTCTACTCACTGTCAGCTTCTTAAAGATTATCTTACTCATACCTGTCTCCCCAGAACCTAGCATGGTGTCTGCCACACTTATGAAGGCTTGCAGAAATGCTGCCACAAACCTCTAATCTCTTCACTAAAACCCTTGGAGCCAGATGTCTTCCAGAAATAAGAAACTTCTTCTGCTTCTGTTGACAGAAGCAGGGCATGATCAGAGGTAGGTAAGGTTATCCAAGGATGACTTCAATCAAGAATATGATTCAATAGGGGCTTCCCTGGTGGCGCAGTGGTTAAGAATCTGCCTGCCAATGCAGGAGACATGGGTTTGAGCTCGGGTCCGGGAATATCCCACATGCCGTGGAGCAACTAAGTCCATGTGCCACAACTACTGAGCCTGTGCTCTAGAGCCCGCGAGCCACAACTACTGAAGTCTGTGTGCCTGGAGCGTGCTCCGCAACAAGAGAAGCCACCGCAATGAGAAGCCCGCGCACCACAACGAAGAGTAGACCCTGCTCGCCGCAACTAGAGAAAGCCCGTGCGCAGCAACGAAGACCCAACGCCGCCAAAGATAAATAAATTAATTAATTAACAACAACAACTCGTGAAGTTCTCCAAGGTCCATTGCTAAAGGACATACAACATGACTCACCAAACAAAACTAAGTGCTTGTGACAGCTCCACAGAACAAATGTATAGAAAAAGATCTCCTTTCCAGTTCTCCAGATTATAACCATGGTTCTCTCCAGGCAGCTGAGGAGGGGACCAGGAAAAGGGATGGTAACTGTGAAAGGGAATTTTAGCCTTACTTTAAATGTTATATTTTTTCACAAGGAGAATTTATTCATGGAGTATTGGTATGATTTAAAATCAACGTAATACTTAGGAATAAAGTTAAGCAGGGAGGCAAAAGACTTGTACACTGAAAACTACAAAACATTGCTGAAAGAAATTAGAGAAGACATAAATAAATGGAAAGACATCTTGTGTCCATGAATTGGAAGACTTAATACTGTTAAGGTTCAATACTACCCAAAGCAATCTACAGATTTAATGCAATCCCTATCAAAATCTCAACGGTATTTTTTGGGAAGAAATAGAAAAGTCCATCTTAAAATTCATATGGAATCTCAAGGGACCCCCAAATAGCCAAAACAATCTTGAAAAAGAAGAACGAAGAGGGAGGTCTCACAAAGCTACAGTAATCAAAACAGTATGTTGCAACATAAAAGACAGACACATAGACCAATGGAATACAGCAGATTGCCCAGAAATAAACTCTCACATTTATGGTTGGGGGAAAGGACTGTCTTTTCAACAAATGGTGCTGGAAAAACTGTATATTCAATGCAAAAGAATGAATATACACAGTTTAACTCAAAATGGATCAGAGACCTAAACATGAGAACTAAAACCATAAAACTCTTAGAAGAAAACATGGGATTGAAAAGCTTCGTGACATTGGATTTGGCAATTGATTTATTGAACATGACACCTAAAACACAGGCAACAAAAGTAAAAATAAATAAGCTGAACGACATCAAAATTAAACATTTTTGTGCAACAAAGGATGCTACTCATAGAGTAAAAAGGCAACCCACGGAATGGGAGAAAATATTTGTAAACTATATATCTTACAAGGCGTTAATATCCAGAACATATAAAGAACTACAATTGAACAACCACAACAACAAAATCAAACAACCTGATTCAAAATGGGCTAAGGATGTGAATAGACATTTCTCTAAAGATGATAATTAAACAGCCAATAAGCCCATGAAAAGATGCTCAACGCCATCAATCACTAAGGAAACACAAACCAAAACCACAAGATCCCCATACGCATTAAGATGGCTACTATAAAAAAAAACCCAGAAATTAAGAATTGTTGGTGAGGATGTAGAGAAACTGGAACCCTTGTGTGCTGATGTCAAGATGGTGAAATGGTACAGCTCCTATGGAAAAGAGTATGGAAGTCTCTCAAAAAATTAAAAGTCGGATTATTGTATGATCCAGCAATTCCACTTCAGGATATACACCCCAAAGAATGGAAATCAGGGACTCATACAGATATTAGTACACCCATGTTCATAGCAGCACTATTCACACAAGCCACATGTGGAAGCCAAGTGTCCACTGATGAATGAATGGATCAAAAAAACGGGGTCCATCCATACAATGGAGTATTACCCAGACTAGGAAGGAAATTCTGACTCATGTTACAATGTGGATAAACCTTGAGGACATTATGCTAAGTGAAATAGGCCAGTCACAAAAAGGCAGATCCTATACCATTCCACTTATATGAGTTTACCTAGGGTAGTGAAATTCAGAGAGACAGAAAGTAGATTGGTGGTTGCAGGGCCTGGGGGAGGGAAGGATGGAGAGTTACTGTTTAATGGGTACAGAGTTTCAGTTCTACGAGATGAAAAAGTTCTTGAGATAGACGGTGGTGATGGCCGCGCCATATGAGGGTGCTTAATGCTGCTCATCTATATGCCTAAAAATGGTGAAAATGGTCAACGTCATGATACGTATATTTTACCACAATTAAACATTTTAAAAAACAATTGGGAAACTCAGAAAGGTAACGTGTGCCTTATAAGAGCACATACCCGTTCAGGGGCTAAGCACTCAGTTACTCCTGATTTACCAAAAAGAGCTCACCCTCCAGGAAAACCTGCAAGTGAACCGTTTCCAAAATGCATTTTTACGCTGGAAATCTGTATTTCCCAAGCCCCTCTTGCAAACTGCCCCTGGGCACACCAGCAAATGTTTAACTGCCCCAGGGGCGAGGGGGCTGGAGATGCCACAGGTAAGGTCTCTGAGCCTGAGTTTTAGCTCCTGCGTCCTTGCAACCAAGACCTGCAGGGACAGGCAGCGGGGCTGCCCAGCTGCCATGTGCAAGCTGAGCCCCAGCGACGCGGCTCTGCGGAGGCTGGACTCACCTCCATGAAGTAATTGCTCAGGGCTGGGCCCGAGTCGTTCTGGAAGGTCTGGTTGATGCGGAGGTGCCTCTTGTTGCGGCTGTCATCCCAGTGCCTCCCATAGCTCGCCTCCAGCTCCCAGTGGAGGTGGCCTGAGCCCTCCTCATGCCTCAGCTGGACCTGGGACACCCCACCAGGGAGACCCCCAAGGAAGCCTTGTGTACGCAGACCTGAGCCTCCTCACAGCCACCCGCCCTGAGATGCAGGCTTGCTTATCTGGGGTGACAGCTCTGTAGGAAGCACAGATTTTTTTGCACTGGCTTTGATCTTGTAAAATATTGCGTTAGAATACGATTCACCTTCACAGTTTCTGGTGTCCCCTTAAATTCTTAAATTCCCGAGGTGAAAAGCTAACCTGCCCCACGCTGGTCCATGCCCTGATAGGGAGTAGAAAGAGCCAGCTGCCATGGGAAGATGACTCCTGATCTGCTTCATATGAACCCCAAATCTCCCCCTCCCCTCACTCTCCCACAGCAGCCTCCGGCTCCCTGGACAGATCCTCTGTGGATCAGGCCTTCCCACCTGTGGGCTCCTGGCAGCCACTGTCTCCTCCTACCTCTGAACCACAGGTCGAGGCAACACAGGCTCATCCATTTATTCACTCACTGAACACGTTTTCCCCCAAGTACCAAGTAGATACTTCGCTGGGCACTAGATAGCCAGGAATGAAGAAGCCAGAAGCCCCCTCCCTTGTGGGGGCAACAGTTCAGGGGGAGAAGCAAACTTGTAACAATTAACAAAGGAACAGTCACTTCTCCCTTTTGCTCACCCCACCAGCCACTCTGATGAACTACCAGTTCTTTAACCGCCCCAATCACCCTCCAGCCCCAGGACCTTTGCACTTGCTGTTCCCTCTGCCTGTGGCACACTTCCTTGGGAACAGAACTATCTCGTATTTTAATTTTCAGCTTAAAATTCATTTCCCCCAAAGAAGCCTTCCCTGCTGCCCTGTCCAAATTAGACTCCCCTGTGCTACGCTCTCTCGGCCTCTGCCCTGTTTACCACCCATGGCACTTACGTTTCCCTTGATTTGGTCCATGTCTCTTGCTCTCTACCACACACCCTCCCCCAGCAATGGAATGGCAGAGACTAGGTGCTGTCTTAAGCACAGCTCTCCCCCAGTGCTGGGCATAGAGTAGGTATTTAATAAACACCAACTGAACAGGGGAAAGATGAGACTAAAGTTCCAATTCCTAATCCGTTCCCATTCACAACCTTGAGTAAATACATCTCTCTGAGGATGGGTTCAGGGTGCTCACCCACCACTTCCCTAACCCCGGGGGCTCTCTCCAGACCCCCCGCCCAGCCTCGGCACCCACCTTGTGGCTGAATGCTGGGATCTGCGTGCAGTGGAGCTCGTGGTCCAGCTCCAGCTTGTAGGTGGCCTCTGAGCCACTCTCCACCCGCAGCTTCTGCCTGGTGCTGCACTCCTGTGCCAGCTGCTTCGCCTGACCTGTGCAGGGCAACCCAAAAACCCCTGCCCTTCCTCTGCCAGGTAGCCCTCCATCCTCATTCCAAGCAGAGGAGCGTCCAGTACAGCCCAGCTTCAGCCAGCCCCCTGGATCTGCCTCACCTAATGTCACTCATTGGAACCTGCCGATGGGGAAGTTTTAAGAGACAGATTTATGTCCCCCCCCAACACACACACACACACACACACACACACACACACGTAGTGTTTTTTGTTTGTTTTGGTTTTTTTTAACAGGCAGGTGCTCAGCTCCACACAAAGCCAGTGGAATGACTCACTAGCTAAGGAGCCTCACGGTGAGGCCAAAACACCCGAGGTGACAGTGGCACCTTAGCCCTCGGAGCCACAGCCCCAGGAGATCGCCCGCAGCCAGCATGCGGTGCCGTACCCAGGAGGCCGTACTTGATCCCCAGGGAGCTGGTCCAGAGGCGGGCCCGCTGCTGCAGCAGGCCTTGGGTGCGCAGCCCCACAAGCCCTGGCACGAAGAGCTCGCCACCCAGGGCCACCACCTGCTGCCCTTCCTCCGCCTTCTTCTCCAGCAGTGCTGCGGGGAGAGCAGGCATGTTGTGGTCATGGCCTGCGCCCCAGAGACTGACACCCTACCCCCAGCACCGGGTGAGGAAAGGAAGTGGGAACCGCCCAGGTGGGTATCGCGATAGAACCAGTGCCTGAGTCTCCGCCAAGGAATGCTGCCATCAGGGCCACTGACGGTGTTTTGCACTGTCCAGGTGGCAACCCCAAAAGTCACTTTTGTGGGTCCAGACCAAAAGTTTTAAATAAAGTAGAACAAAATAGAATGGACCAGAACATAAATGACAGTGTATCAGGATCAGGTAAATTTCACCTTCTGAAACTTGTTTCTGCTACACTGATATTCAGCCAGATCACACAGGCATAGCCATGAAGGTTAAAATATCAAAAATGCATAGGCTTCCCTGGTGGCGCAGTGGTTGAGAGTCCGCCTGCCAATGCATGGGACACGGGTTCATGCCCCGGTCTGGGAAGATCCCACATGCCGCGGAGCGGCTGGGCCCGTGAGCCATGGCCGCTGAGCCTGCGCGTCCGGAGCCTGTGCTCCGCAACGGGAGAGGCCACAACAGTGAGAGGCCCGCGTACCGCCCCAAAAAAAAAAAATGCCAGCTAGTCAACAGCCCTAGCCACTCACATCACTCCCCTGGAATCTCCGAGAACACCCCACAAGCAGCATCGCCAGGAGGGCTCCAAGCCAGCTCTGGCACCAGGGTGGGCATCTGGTCAGATTGGTCAGTACCCAGGCCAGGCTGTGTGTTCAAGATACAAACAGCGCCCCATGCAATTCGGGTCAAAATGCGAAATGTGTTTTTTACACATTGTGTAACATGTAATATGGGTCAGAATCCAAACACGCCAAAAGGTGCTGGTGGACGGTTCCTGCAGAGCAGTCGAGCGCGTTGGAGGGGCATCTGGGGGACTCAGGCAGAAGCTGCGAGCAGATACAGAGCCTGGATTTTCCTTGGATGGAATGTGAATACTGGGGGATCGGGTGATGGGGACTCCAAGTGGGGCACTCCGCCCTCCCCTCCCCAAGCCTGGCCATTGAAGAAAAGTGGCAGAAAGGGGTCCCTCCTCCTACCTGACACGTGGGCCTGGTCACTCAGCAGGTTGCTCAGTGACATGGAGAAGGCCAGCCTGCTGCCTGCCTGCCGGCTGAGGTTCCCGGCGAGGACCACAGGGCTGCCCGATGTCACCAGTTTCACCTCCAGCTGGGCCTCGATCCGCTGAGCCTCACCACCTGCTGCTGGCCACAGGTTGCTCCGGCCCTGGAAAGGCCCCATCATCCCTTGAGGGGACAGGCTCTGCCAGCAGGCTCCACCCGGACTGCAAGAACCAGGACCGGACAGAGGGCAGGAGACACAGCCTGGCTAATGGGCTTCTAGGCTGATCCTGCTGCAATTTCTTAAGCTCAATATTGTTCAAAATAGGTCATCTCTGTTACAAATTCAGACGTAAGTTTGAAGGACCCTTCCTCCCTATCCCCCCAACCTCAACACCCCGTCCAATCTATCAGGGACTCTGGCCAGCTCTCCCTGCAGAATATTCAGGGACCCGACCACTTCAGCCACCTCCACCACTGCCCCGGCTTGAGCCCGCTCATCGCCACTGTGTTCCTGTGACATTCTTCTCCCGGCTCTCCTGGCTCCCACCCTGGTGACCAGGGCAAGCCCTTCCATAGGATCATGGCACACCTCTCTTCCTCAGGGTAAAAGCCAAAGTCCTTGCAAAGACCAACAAGGCCAAGACTTTCTCTGGAAGTCAGCAGTGCAGCCCTGGCCAGACGCAGGCAAAACTGCCCACAGACACCGGGAGGCAGGACACACAGATGGCCCCAAACATGCTCTGTGTCTCCATCATTGAGGTTTTCCAGAGCAACTACAGCCCATAGCAATGGCAGCTGTCATCTCTGACGGCCACCCCAACTGTAGACCAATCCCAAGGACCTCTCTGCTGCTGCCAGCTGATCTGTTTACCCAAAAGATGTAAAAACGACCTCACTATTTCCAGACTGTCCACTACTTTATACTCTCTTGTAAATCCTGTTTTTGCCTTTGTTCCTTGACAATGGTCACAAATCACTCTCTTCTGATTACTCTTTGGCAAAGCCTTACATGATCTGTCCTCCCACCTTTCTGTCCCTTCTCCTATTCCACTCCAAGCACATGGGGGCTCAGGCTGTGCTTCTGTACACTTTCCTGCCCCAGAACCTTTGTACATGTTGTGCTCTTTACTTGCAATACCCTTCCCCCAGAGAACCACATGGCTCTCTTCTCCACACGCTTTATGTCTTAGCTAAAAACTATCTTCTCAATCAGGCTTAACCTGTCAGCCTATTTTAAACTGAAGCCGTGGGACTTCCCTGGTGGTCCAGTGGCTAAGACTCCACACTCCCAATGCAGGGAACCCGGGTTCGATCTCTGGTCAGGGAACTAGATCCCACATGCCGCAACTAAAGATCCCGCGTGCCACTACTAAAGAAAGATCCCACATGCTGCAGCGAAGATCCCGCGTGCTGCAACTAAGACCCGGAGCAGCCAAATAAATTTTTTTTAAATAATAAAAATTAAAAAAAATAAAACTGAAGCCAACCCTCAGACCCTTCTTCTCACATAACTTCAGACCCCTGGATCCAGCTCACTGATTCCCTTTTCCTATAGTGCTTACACTCACCTATCACGACAATTTGCTTATTTATTTTACTGATTATCTCTCCTATGAGAATGTAAGCTCCAAAAGGAGAGAATTTTGTGTGTGTATCTCTTTTGTGTGCTGTCTTCCTGGCACATTGTAGGTGCTTGATAAACAGTCATTGAATAAATTAATAAAGACAATGAAAAATATAGGTTTCGTTCCCCTTCTTGGTCTCCCAGTCTCCCTCAAGGCAACCACTGTGTCCACTTCTTGGGCATCTTCCAGAGACAGCATGGGCCTATATGTATGAGTCTGTGGGAGCGTCTGTGCACGCACGTGTGTGTATGTGTGCACTCCATCACACACGTGCACGTTCCCTCTTACTCTGCACAAAAACAGATGCAGGCTCTCCACTCTCCTCTGCTTCTCTCACTTAATGGTGTGTCTTGGAGATGATTTTCTCTGGTTTGTAACAGAAGCTTCTCGGCAGTAGCTGTAATTGTTCTCAAAGTGCAGCCCATGAACAGGATGACTGTAGAATTTCTCATCCAAACCAGGACACTTAACGGTTAAAGAGACCACTAATCATATTGAGCTGGGTCAACGGTAAACTGGGGCTCTCCAGGTAACCTGGGACTTGGGGATGCTCTATCATTGCACCCAGCGGAGGGGGCACTGAAATCTAACACTTTCCTCCACGCCATCCTTAAACCCCATAAACACTCAGCTGAGTCGAACCCAGCTTTGCTGCTTTGTATTCCTGAGCTCATCTGCCTTAGTTTCCTCATCTCCTATGGGCTTACCAAGAGGACTAAAAGAGGGACCCGGGGTCAAAGTCACCCGTGGCCCCCCACCCCGAGAACAAGCTTTGGAAAGTTCCAGAGCCCCAGCTGTTACCGTTAATCATGATGGCTCTGAGGCAGCTAGAACTGGAGTTTCTCTAAAGGCCAATGTTTCCAGGCTGCAGACAGCCCTCTGGAGAGCGGCAGGCAGGTCTGCAGGGAGGTGCAGGCAATCAGCACTTGTGCGCTTAGTGAACAGGGATTGCTCCGAGGGCTCCCGGGAGCTCTGAACATGATTTGTAGTCTCAGCCGTCAAGCAGCTGGGGCTTTAGGGGGAAGATGCTCTCCCCTGATACTTGGTCTTCCCACCCGGACAGGAAGCAGATCTAGGAGCTGAGAGTGTGTTTATGTAGCAAAAATTCCAGCCCTGGCTCCAGATTTTCAACCCAGACCTCTCTGAGAAATCACTGGAGACCGAGGCAGAATCATCAGACTCACGGCCAAAGGGGCCCAGAGGTCCTGCTTGGAAGGAGCGAGTCTACACCTGCTGTTTTTGTCCTTTTTGGAGTCACTGACCTGCTTGAGCATCAGATGCAAGGTCTAAACCCTCTCCCCAGAAGGGGGACAGACACAAAACTTCTGCACAATTGCAGGGGCTTCAATGGACCCACTGAGTCCCATCCAGGTCCTCCTGGTTGAGAACCTTAAAAAGTACCTATAACGAAGAGAAAAACGCACACACCTTTGCTCCAGGAATTCCACTGCTAAGAATTTACCCTGAAGATGGAAGGGTGATTTATAAGACCAAGAACCCGGGAAAAACTCCAGAGCCCTCCACTACGGAACCAGCGAAATAAATTCCATCCCATTGACTATTATGCGGCCATTCAAAATACATGGTAGACATTCTTGTTTTTAAAATAAAAGATGGGGGGGAAATATATTGATATCTATTTGGGGATTGTGGGCATAGATGATTCCTAAGAGGAGTCCCAGAAAATGAACAATGATTGGCTTTGAGGAGGGGTGTAAGGGAAAGTTTTTAACTCTATACCTGTGCTGACCCATAGAACTTTCTACAATGATGGGAAAGTTCTAAAAAGTGGCCAGTGCAGCTGAGAAACCATATCTTTAACTTTCTGTTACTCTGACTCACTTAAATAGTCATGTGTATAGGGGCCATCGTACTAGACACTCAGTTCTGTGCCCTTCTGTACCTTTTGAACTTGGAATCATTTAAATGAATTACCTATTTTTTTAACTAAATTAAATTGTACCAGTATGTGCTGGTACAAAAAGATATATTTTTGACTGAAAAAAAAAAAAGCAGCATGCAAAGAATAAAACAAAAACTAAACTCAATACTGAAAGTTTTATAAATCTATAGTATTATGGGTTGAACTGTATTATCGGTTGAACTGTGCTCCCCCTCAAAAGAAGTTGAGGTCCTAACCCCCAGGACCTGTGAATGTGACCTTACTTGGAAAAAGGGACTTTGCAGATGATCCAGTGAGGTCATTAGGATGGACCCTAATCCAGCATGACTGGTAAACTTACAAAAAGAGAAATTTGGACACAGATACCTACAGAAGGCAGACAATGTGGAGATACAGGGAGAAGACAGCTATCTACAAGCCAAGAAATGCCTGAGGCTACTAAAAACTAAGAGAGAAGCATGGACTAGATTCTCCCTCACAGCCCTTAGAAGGAACCAACCCTGCCAACACCTTGATTTTGAACTTCCAGCCTCCAGAACTGTGAGGGAAAATTTTCCATTGTTTAAGTACCCCCAAATTTGGGGCACTTTGTTAAGGCAGCCCTGGGGAACTCATACAGATTTCTTGGTGTGTGCATTGACATTTCTTCTGGAAATCTGGGGATTGGCACTCTTTCACTTACCTTTTTATACCTTTCTCTACTCTGAATTTTTTAAAGCATGCTCCTGTGTTACTAATATTATCAATTTATGACATCAATAGTGGTGAGATTTGAGCTCATTTTTTTCTTCTTCCTACTCTTCTGGGTAACAAGAAGTCACAAACGTTATTGGTAGGTGGAAGGAGAAGAACAGCTAAAACACCAAAGGAGGTGGTGATGAGTAAGCAGGGACTGGGGCTTGAAATGCCCAGGGAGGTGGCAGGAGCCAACGCCGGTGGGCTGAGGACGGGGAACAAACCTTGACGTAGTAGACGTCCCTGTCGTCCAGTATCAGTTCCAGGTGACCCATGCAGCCACTTTGCAGAGTGTCCATCTTTCCTGGGAGACAAAGCGAGAGTTTAGAGACCAGGGTTCAACATCCTGGATCCGCCCCTGTGTTCACCAGGGGATGTCCTGCTTGTTTCCTAATCTCCGAGCCTGTGGCTCCTAGCCCATAAAACGAGGCTATATTTAGTGCCGACCTCAGAGGGTGGCTGAGGAATCCACAGTGAGCGGGCTGCATCTGGCACATGGCCGAGGGCACAGTGATGGGTAGGAACACTGTCATTACCGTCCAACTCAATTTTCTTCTTGGGATGGAGAAGCTTGAGCCGGAACTTCCTCTGGGGCCAGCTGTAGCTGACATCCACCCCGACGTCCCTGGGCACTTCCGACCCGGGCATGCCCATGAAGACGTGGGCTGAGGCTTCTTGAGGGAGCCAGCAGTCCTTCTGGAAACACAGCAGAGTCCTCAAGATCAAGAACCCATCCAGGCCCCCCACCTTCAAAAACTTGAGTTCTTATGCTTATCCTTGTCCTGTTAAGAACAGATAAGAAGCCCCAAACCAGGAATTTGGGGATCCGTATCCTGGAGGAGAGTCCTACAGGACAACTCAGGACCACAGGGACAGGATCTCAGATTGTTCAGCAAACAGCCAGGGAAGGAGGCTTATCGCACACCATCGGCACCCTGCCCAGATCCCCTCGGACCCCTTGACCAGCTCAGCATGCTCATCTCCCAGCTTCCGTGCACTTTGCTCTTAACCCCTGGCACCTGGGACCTCCAGAGCATTGCCCTCCAGCACAGGAGGGAAAAACAACCCTGCTCCTTGGCCTCAAGGGGACCAAACTCTGAGATTAACTCCTGCTCCAGGGCTGCCCAGGGATCACGCTGAGGCTGCCACCGCACCTGCCATCACTCCTGCTCAGCTTCTTCCCCTTCCCTACCCTATTTTCTCCACCCTCTTCCTGGGTCCTCCTGGAGTCTTTTCTTCATCCACACTTTTACCCAAATCCTTGGCTCCAGTCTGCTTCTGGGAAAACACAGCCTAAGACACAGGCCCCCTTTAAAAACCTGCATCAGGGACGTTCCTGGTGGTACAGTGGTTAAGAATCCGCCTGCCAATGCAGGGGACACGGGTTCGAGGCCTGGTCTGGGAAGATCCCACATGCCGCAGAGCAACTAAGCCCATGCGCCACAACTACTGAGCCTGCACGCTAGAGCCCATGAGCCACGACTACTGAGCCCGCGTGCCACAACTACCAAAGCCCACGTGCCTAGGGCTCGTGCTCCGCAACAAGAGAAGCCACAATGAGCAGCCCACGTACTGCAAAGAAGACCCAACGTAGCCAAAAATAAATAAAAATTAATTTAAAAAAAAACCAACCCTGCATCATCGTCATTCATTTAGTACCAATAAATGTTGACTACTGTGTGTGAGGCACAGTTGCAGGCACAGGGAATGCAACTGAGTGTTAGACACAAAGTCCCGCCCTCTTGGCACCTACATTCTAGAGGGGGAGGCACAGGACCTCCAGACACAGAAGTAGGTAAGACAGCAGCTCACCACCACCAGCTGCTGAGCGCTCTGCTGACAAACTCAGAGGGTCAGGGGCCCTGACAGGGTCATTGTTCTGGACTGGGTGGTCAGGGAGGGAAGCTGCCTCTGAGGAGGGGGCATTTGATGAGACTTGAAGGAAGCAAGGGAAGGAGTTGAGTGGATGTCTGGGAAAGACTGTTCCAGGCAGAGGAAACAGACAGTGCAAAGGCCCTGGGGCAGCAATGCACTTGGCATTTAATAAAAAGGAGGTCGGTGTGTCTGAAGAGCGGTGAGCCTGGTAAACATTTGCGGAGATGGGGAGGAGAGGCCGGCATGGCAGGATCACTGAAAGCCTATGGGTCAGGGTGAGTGGGTCCTATTCTGAGAGGAATAGGAGCCACTGGAGACTTCTGAGCAGGGGAGGGACACGGTCATTTTGGGATTTTGGAAGGTCTGTCTGGCTGCTGGTGGAGAACATATGGTGAGGAGACAAGAGCGGGAACTGGGAAATCAGATAGGGGGCTGCTGAGTGCCCATTCTGTGCCAGGTGCTGGGGACTCAGGGGTGAGAAAAACAGGCACTGTTCCCAGGAACTGAGTGACTAGTGGGGAAGACAGATCTTAACCAACTGGTTTCAGTAATGAACACAAATGTGATCTAAAGGGAAGGAACATGATCGTACTAGAGCACATAACAAGGGAATATGACCACTTCGGGGTAATCAGGGCAGGTTTCACTGAGGAGGTGACCCCCCTAAAGTGAGCTCTGAAGATTGATTCAGAGTTACAAGTCATCAAGCCAGGGACAGAGGATCAGCATGTGCAAGGGTCCTGAGGCAGGAGGGAGACTACAGCAGGACCAGCCCAGCTGGTCCTGCTCCAGAGAGGAGGCCCATGTCTTTATGAGTGATCCCCAAGGCTGAGGCCTGAGTAGAAGACCTAGGGAGACCCAGAACCTGGCTGGGAAAGGAGGAGCCATTCCGTAGGGCCTACCGGGGGGTGGAGGGTATAGGCAGCTTCCAGCAGATAGCGTTGGAGCCCCCGGTCCTGCTTCTTCAGCATCACAGCCGCAAACACAGGCACCGAGAGCAGGTAGGGCTGCCCGGCTGGAGGCCAGCTCACTTCAGTGCACAGCTGCCAGCCCCAAGTGCGGGACGCTGTGAGAAAGGGAGCAGGCAGCATGGTCAGTAGAGAGACAGAGGGCTCGAGGCAGGCCATGGATGCGCCCATCAGCAAAGAAGGAGCATCTCTACATTCTTTTGAGAAACAGTATCGTGGAGACATTAACTGTATGAGGCGGTACTGTGTAGACCAGGGTTTCTCAGCCTTGGCGCTATCGACACACTGGTCTGGATAATTTCTTGTTGTGGGAAGCTGTCCTGGACTCAACCCACTAGATACTGGTAGCACCTCCTGCACCAGGATGACACCTCAAAATGTATCCAGACGTCGCCAAATGTCCCGAGGGGCCAAAAATTGTCCCCAGTTGAGGACCCCTGGTGTAGACTACCAGAGTGTCGGGCAGTACTGTGTAGGACACAGGCTCTGGAGCAAGAATGCCTGGATCCACATTCCAGTTCTGCCACTTCCCAGCTGTGTGACCTTGGACAAGTTACTTAACATCTCTGTGCTTTGGTGTTTCTCATCTGTCAGCTTGGGAGTGATAACAGTTCCAGCCCCATGGTGTAGCTGTGAGGATTAACAGCTCAGCAAGCATTTAGGACAGAATTTAGCCTAAAGAAATCATTTAAGTAGGCCCCTCCCCCACCTCACCCCCAACATGACTGCAAGATCTGTGACTGTTTGGTATACCTCCTTCCCCTCTGTTTTCAATTTTGTTGCCTTTCGCCTGATGTTATTATCAAAAAAATTTTCTCGTGCTATTAAAATATGTCCTTCATTACAGAGCTTAAAAGTTATGGGAGGGCTTCCCTGGTGGCGCAGTGGTTGAGAGTCCGCCTGCCGATGCAGGGGACACGGGTTCGTGCCCCGGTCCGGGAGGATCTCACATGCCGCGGAGCGGCTGGGCCCGTGAGCCATGGCCGCTGAGCCTGCGCGTCCGGAGCCTGTGCTCCGCAACGGGAGAGGCCACAGCAGTGAGAGGCCCGCGTACCGCAAAAAAAACACACACAAAAAAAAAAAAAAAAAAAAAGTTATGGGATATCTCAGTACTTTACTAAACCAGGAATTGGCAAACGTTTTCTGTAAATGGCCAGATAGTAAATATTTGAGGTTCTGCTGGTCACACAGTCTGTTACTCAACTCTGCTGTTGCTGAAGAAAAGCCACAGGCAACGGGCATGGCTCTGCACCAATAAAACTTCATTTATGGACACTGAAATATGAATTTCACAAATTTCTCATGTTATGAAATAGTCCTTTTGATTATTTTTCTGCATTTGGAAATGTAAAAGTCTATTCTTAGCTCAAAGGCCCTTATAATAAGCCATTTGCCTACTGTTGGATATTTGAGTTGCTGCCTATTTTTTGCTCTGTAAATAATGATGCAACGAACATCTCTGGGCACAGGGCATTTTAAAATGATTTTGGTTTATTTTCATAAGGTAGAGTTCTAGAAGCAGCATCATTGAGTTAAGGGGCATAAGTACTTTTAGGGCAGAAGAGTAACTCTGGAATTTGGACCTGGCATCTTACCCCTCAGCCCCCAGGACAACCATCTCGGGACAATGACACAGAGGCCGTGCTGGCACCTACCTTCCTTGTCGGTACAGGATTGGGCCTCAGAAGGGATGTGAGCGTGACTGAGGCTCCTCATGCCATTCCCAGTGATGAGAAACAGCTGAGAGCTGGGTAGGAAAGGAGGAAAGTGCCAGGCAAGCTGTTTTCACTCAACCATAAAGCCACCAGGGCAAGGCACTAGGGCAAATCCCACTATCAACAGGACAGGCCTTTGGGGAGTCTGCACACTGGTGGGGGAGACACTCCATGAACACAGAGGGTGACAAGCACTATGAAAAACCTAAGATGGGGCACGGCATGGGCATAGGGTCTGTCCTGGAGACAGAGCAGGACGTTCTTCAGCTCAGGGTTTGGAAAGGACTCTCTGTAGGGGTAACATTCGGTCAGAGAATCAAAGGATGAGAAGGAGCCAGCACTCCAAACAAAGGGAACAGCAGGTGCAAAGGCCCTGGGGTGCGAGAAAAGGGGGCTCTTTGGTAGCACAGATAAAATGGTGGTGAGAGGGGGTCAGAATGGAAGGGGGTAGCGAGGGGCAGGAAGGAGTGACAGGAGACAGGTGAGGGGGGTGGGCAGGGCCTCCATCGGGCAGGAGAATCATGTGGAGCTGGGTTATCCTAGAAGCAAGCACGGGATTTTAAACAGGGGAGGGGGGAGCACGATAGGACTTAACTGACATTTCAAAGGACCCTACTGGCTGCTGCCGGGAGAGGGTCAGGAGGGCAGCAGTGCCTCCAGCAAGGGTGGGACACAGGGAAGGAGGCAGGTGGAGGTGGGGGCAGCCTGGCTTCTCCCGTTTCCTTGGAAATCACTGTTCTCTAAGTGTCACCTCTCCAGGGGGCTGGGGACAAGCAGGCCTCAGGAGGGACCCCCGTAAATTGCTGAGGAGTGTGGGAATCCCCACCTCTAGGCTGCCCTCAGTCCCTGTCACAGACACACCCACCCCACCTTGACACATGTGCACACACACGCACGCCCACGTGTAGCCCACTCACTGACATGCGCACACACTCTCACAAACACGCCCACAGACACACATTCACATACACAGACTCACAGGCACATCCTTAGGCGCACACACTCACAGATACACGTGGTCAGACACAGGTGCACATGCAAGGTGATCGTGCACACACTCTCACAGACACATGCACCCACACCTGTGCCCAGCCTGGCTCGCACACAGGTGCACTCACGGGCTCCCTCTCCAGGTGCGGGAACCCACCTGAAGCGGAGCAGCTCCACAGCCTCCTCGGGTGTGTTCAGATGCACCCTGAGGTCCTGGCCCTTCTTTATCCGGATCCCTCCATCCAGGCTGGCGGTGCCACGGACGCCGGTCACCCACCTCAGCCCAGCCTGCCCCAGGGTGCCCACTGTGCCCATCTGTGCCGAGATCTGGAGCAGGGCGCTGAGGAAGAGGCACACAACTGCATCCTGCCGCCCCAGGCAACGGCAAAGCCAGCACCAACCCACCCGGCTGCTCTCCGTGGTCCTGAGCCAGAGCAGCCCCTCCACCATGGACACCGCTGACCATGAACTCCATGTGTGCCAAGCACGCTACACATCACCATCGAACCCTCACCATCACTAGTCTCATTTTACAGATGGGGAAACCGAGGCTCAGAGGGGTGACACCAGCTGTGTGGGTCCCACAGTCGGGACATGGAACAGCCAGTTCTGGAGCCCCAGCTGACTGAGCCCAAACCCAGGTCTCCATGCCAAAAAGCAGCCGTCACAGGACACCCACATACCCCACATCAGACCCAGAAACCAAGGACAGGTCGGCTTAGTGGCTGGGACAATCGCCCAGCAGGCCTGGGAAGGTGAGCATTGTCGAATTCTGCTCAAAATCCTTCGTGCCATGTGGCCCTGGGTCAGCTGGGCACTCATCCTGAGTCTGTTTCCTGAACCCTTAGTGGGAAGAAGGAAAGTGTCCACCTCGTGAGTGGCCATGTGAGTTCAGCGGGCTCAGAGCCCATGTGCCTTAAATGCTTTTCCCTCTCTCCCATCTCCCCTCCCCTCGGAGGCAGAGGGGGCAGAGGGAAGAGTGGAGTTGTGGCACGAGACGAATCTCAGCTGCCTCGCACTGCTGTGCCACCTCGGGCATGGAACCTCACCTCGCCAAGCCTCAGTCTTCTCACCTGTAAAGTGGGTGTAGCCGCCCAGGTTCTCCTCAAAGTCTCTTGGCACAAAAAACACTCCATCAACAGTAGCTGATATAACAGGTGGTCAGCAGAGCGGGGCTCCCCTCCAGCCCATGCTGATGCCCCAGCGCTCTGCAGGCGGAGGCCCCCACCCACCCACCTCCCCCAGCTCTGAGGAGCCAGCTACCTGGGCTTGACATAACCATTCACAGAGAAATCCGAGCGCTGCTGGAAGTTGGCTGTCCCTCCGACCTGGATGTTGATGGCAGCTGAGGCGTTCAGGGTCAGCTGGGCTAGGAGTCCAGACATGGTGGGAAAAGTGAGCTCCTCCATGGCCAGGTTCAGCCTTCGGTTCACCTGCACCTCCTGTCCCTGCAGTCAGAGAACCGTAACAGTGCATGTGACGGCCTCACTTAACCCTCACACAGCCCTCAGAGGGGACCTTATCATTGTCTCCAGTTTCCAGATGAGAAAACAGAGCCCACAAACAGATAAAATAACCCGGCCGAGCCCATGTAGCTAGAAACAGGAAGAGCTGGGGTTTGAACCAAGATAATTTACCAAGGGACATGGTCAGAGGTCAAGCATCCAGGGTCAGCCAGGTAAGGAGCGGTGTGGGCCCTGCCTGCGGTACAGAGCACTTAGTATGTGCCAGGCACACTCTAAACGTGTGGTTGCATTTTTACTGCATGAAGTCACTTGATTCAACAGCTCTATGAAGTAGATATTATTATACTATTACTATTCTATCATTCCCATTTCACAGATAAAGAAACTGAGGCCGTGGCAAGTTCAGCAACATGCCCAAGGTGGTAAGTGGTGCAGCCAGTTTTTGAACTTGGGCAGTCTGGCTCCAAATTCCATGCTCTTAAGTCTGAAAGTACTTTAGTATTTCCCCAAAGCATCAAAGGAAACATCTTCGGACCAGACGACAGGGAGGGGCCGAGCCCAGCCTGAGGTACCTTCAGGAGCTTGCCAGCAAGCTCGGCCAGGTTCAGGGACTGGCGTGTCACATGACTCCCCATCGCCCCGCAGTCCACAAAGCTCAGCTCATGCCCAAAAACCTTCATGCTCAGCTTACACTGCAGCGCCCGCCGCTCCCGATGCCTCTGGGCCACCTGTGACCAGGAACAGGTCTGGGTTAGCCGGGCAAGGTACCTGGACTTTGGGAGGGGGAAGGGGCACCTGGAGAGAAAAGTGAAGGGCTTGTGGGGTCCAGAGCAGGGCTTGCAAAACTCACGGCCCAGAGGCAGAATCTGCAGATGTGTTTTCTTAGACCTGCACAGTCTACTCAATGCCCAGTGCAGTGTGTATGTGTGTGTGTGTGTGTGTGTGTGTGTGTGTGTGTGTGTTTGTGTGTGAGAGAGAGAGAGACAGAGAGACAGAGACAGAGAGAGAGTTTTAGCAAACTTTATTTTGGAATAATTTTCGACATACAGAAAAGTTACTTCCCTAAAGAAGACATACAGATGGCCAAAAAGCACATGAAAAGATGCTCAACATCACTAATTATTAGAGAAATGCAAATCAAAACTATAGTGAGGTACCACCTCACGTCTGTCAGAATGGTCATCATCAAAAAAATCTACAAATAAATGCTGGAGAGGATGTGGAGAAAAGGGAACCCTCCTGCACTGTTGGTGGAAATGTAAATTGATACAGCCACTATGGAGAACAGTATGGAGGTTCCTTAAAAAACTAAAAATAGAGCTACCATATGATCCAGCAATCCCACTCCTGGGCATATATCCAGAGAAAACCATAATTCGAAAAGATACATGCCACCCAGTGTTCATTGCAGCACTGTTTACAATAGCCAAGACATGAAAGCAACCTAAATGTCCATTGACAGATGAATGGCTAAAGAAGATGTGGTACATATATACAGTGGAATATTACTCAGCCATAAAAAGAACAAAATAATGCCATTTGCAGCAACATGGATGGACCTAGAGATTGTCATACTGAGTGAAGTAAGTCAGACAGAGAAAGACAAATATCATGTGATTCGCTTACAGGTGGAATCTAAAAAATGGTACAAATGAACTTATTTACAAAACAAAAATGAGTTACAGATGTAGAAAACAATCTTATAGCTACCAGGGGGGAAAGGGAAGGCAGGGATAAATTGGGAGATTGGGACTGTCATATACACGCTACTATATCTAAAATAGATATAACTAATAAGGACCTACTGTGCAGCACAGGGAACTCTCCCCACTATTCTGGAATGACCTATAAGGGAAAAAAAAATCTAATAGAGAGTGGATATAGGTATGGGTATCACTGAGTCCCTTTGCTGTACACCTGAAACTAACACAACATTGTAAATCAACTCTACTCCAATAAGAAAATATTTTTTGAAGTTGCAAAGATAGTACCGAGAGCTCCTATGGACCCGTCACCCTGTTTCCTCCATTGTTAACATCTTACATGACCAGGAAACATGGTGAAAACTAAGAAATCAACACCGGCATGTTATTAACTAAACTCTGGACTTTATCGGACTTTTCCATCCCATCCTCTTTCTATTCCAGGATCCAATCCAGGTGCCACGTGGCATTTAGTGTTGTGTCATGTCTCTTCAGTCTGCCCTGGTCTGTGACAGTTTCTTGGTCTTTATTTTTCATGCAGTGTGTAGTTTTAAATTTATTTCTAATATTTAAAAATTAGGAGATTTTCTATAAAATCCACATAGCCAGCATCTCAAAAAAGAGAAATATTGGCCTGTCTCCCCCTCCCTCCCAGCCCGCACTCACAACAAGGGGCAACAAGTGTTCAGAGCTGAGCAGTGGCTGCCACCCTGAGCTGAGGCCTGTGCTACATGCCTGACTGCCATACTCCCCACCATTCCCTGCTGTCTCTCCAACACTCAGGCCAAGGACTGTTGCCATTCGTCACTGTGCTTGTGCAAAATATATCTTGGGATGTGAATCTATCACAAGGGAGAAAACAACAGACCAAAGGGACTGTGGATTCTAAGAAAAAACATTTATATCCAGTCCACCGCCCTTATTCAAGTTACTTGCTGGCCCCAGATCTGGTCCAAGAGGCTTTTGATGGTAGGGACCACGTCCTGATCATCTTTGTGCTCCTGGGCCCTGGGGTCACAGTTGGTGGTTAGTAAACGTGTTAATGTTTGAACAAATGCCCCAGCCACCACCTTGATTACCCCCAGATGTATGTGTAAATGACATTTATAAGAGCAAAAAGATGCTAACGATCTCATTGTCTTATTGTTGGGGCAACGGTTATGTAAAGTGAGATCCCCACCCACAGAAAGGGTGTCAAAATGTATGCGTACAATGAGTTTTCAGTAAGAAAATAAGTAACAATATGAAGTGGGAAACTAGGGAAAGCACACACACACCCTAGCAGTTCCACTGCTAGGTACACACTGGACAGAAATGTGCACATATATTCACCAAAGAGACACGCACAGAATGTTCACTGCACTACCCATAATAAGCCAGGAACTGGAAACTACCCAAAAGCCCACCAAAAGTAAATGGATAAAGAAACTGTGTTATATTCACACCATGGGATGCTACACAGCAAGGAGAATGAACAAGCTGTAAGTACACACAGCAACATAGATGGATCTCATGAACACACTTGAAGCAAAAGAAGTCAGACACAAAAAAAGAGGATGTGAGCAGCATTATTCACAGTCGTCACAAGATGGAAACAAACCAAAAGTCCATCGGCAGATGAAGGGACACACAAAACGTGGTCCATCCATGCAATGCACTGTTATCCAGCCTTAAGAAGGAATGAAGCACAAAAACAGACATAGAGATCAATGGAACAGAACAGAGAGCCCAGAAATAAGCCCACACACCTACAGTCAGGTAATCTATGACAAAGTAGGCGAGAACACACAATGGAGAAAAGACAGTCTCTTCAGCAAGTGCTGATGGGAAAGCTGGACAGCCACATGTAAATCAATGAAGTTAGAACACGCCCTCTCACCATACACAAAAATAAACTCAAAATGCCTTAAAGACTTAAACATACGACATGACACCATAAAACTCCTAGAAGAGAATACAGGCAAACATTCTCTGACATAAATTGTAGCAATGTTTTCTTAGGTCAGTCTCCCAAGGCAAAAGAAATAAAGGCAAAAATAAACAAACGGGACCTAACCAAACTTATAAGCTTTTGCATAGCAAAAGAAACCATAAACAAAACCAAAAGACAGCCTACAGACTGGGAGAAAATACTTGCAAATGATACAACCGACAAGGGATTAATTTCCAAAATATATGAACAGCTCATGCAGCTCAATATCAAAAAAACAAACAACCCAATCGAAAAATGGGCAGAAGACCTAAGCAGACATTTCTCCAAAGAAGACATACAGGTGGCCAAGAAGCACATGAAAAGCTGCTCAACATCACTAATCATTAGAGAAATGCAAATCAAAACTACAGTGAGGTATCACCCCACACCAGTTAGAATGGGCATCATCAGAAAATCTACAAACAACAAATGCTGGAGAGGGTGTGGAGAAAAGGGAACCCTCCTACACTGTAGGTGGGAGTGTAAATTGGTACAGCCACTATGGAGAACAGTATGAAGCATCCTTTAAAAACTAAAAATAGAACTACCATATGATCCAGCAATCCCACTCCTGGGCATATATCCGGAGAAAACTCTAATTCAAAAATATACATGCACCTCAATGTTTATAGCAGCATGATTTACAATAGCTAAGACATGGAAGCAACGTAAGTGTCCATTGAGAGATGAATGGATAAAGAAGAGGTGGTACATATACACAATGGAATACTACTCAGCCACAAAAAAGAATGAAATAATGCCATTTGCAGCAACGTGGAGGGACCTAGAGATTATCATACTAAGTGAAGTCAGAGAGAGAATGACAAATATCGTATGCTATCACTTATATGTGGAATCTAAAAAAAATGATATAAATGAACTTATTTACAAAACAGAAACAGACTCACAGATATAGAAAACAAATTTATGGTTACCAAAGGGGAAAAGGGGTTGGGGAGGGATAAATTAGGAGTTTGGGATTAACATATACACACTACTATATATAAAATAGATAAATAACAAGAACCGACTGTATAGCACAGGGAACTATATTCAATATCTTGTAATAACCTATAATGGAAAAGAATCTGAAAAAGTATATATGTGTGTGTGTATATTCAGTTATGTATGTATATATACATATATGTGTATATATACATACGTGTATGTATGTATACATAATACGTATGTGTGTATACATAAACGTATGTATACATATAACTGAATCACTTTGCTGTACACCGGAAACTATCACATTATAATCAACTATACTTCAATTAAAAAACTATTTGTGCAGTAGAAAAAAGAAAGGAATGAAGTACTGATACATGCTACGGTACAAATGAACCTTAAAAACGTGCTCAGTGAAAGAAGCCAGACACAAAAGGCCACATATTGTATGATTCTGTTTATATGAAATGTCCAGAATAGGTAAATCTATAGAGACAGAAAGCACATTAATGGTTGCCAGGGGCTGGGAAATGAGGGAATGGGGCGTGACTGCTAATGAGCGTGGGGTCTCCTTGGGGTGATGAAAATGTTTGGAACGAGACAGAGGTGGTAGTTGCACAACATTGTGAATATACGTGTCACTGAATTGTATACTTTAAAATAGTTGATTTTATGTTTACGTGAGCTTCACCTCATTTTTTTAAAGAGTACACGGTGAATGATTCCATTTATATTAAGTTCACAAAAGAAGCTGGATGTGACCTCTGCTGTCAACCATATTGAAGTAACAAGGACTGGATTTATCTTCCCACGTGGAGCAACAGATGAAACAGAAGAAACAAAAGTTCCCAAGACATTAGACATCAGGTAATATGAACCCAAGAGATGGGAAATAGCAAGGTGAGGCCCAGCTTACTGCCTGGAGAGAGCTCAGGCTGAGGTGCAGGGAGGGGAACAGCGGGGCATGACAGACTCTCAGGGTTGAGGATCTGGGAGTCCAGGGAAACCAAGGTAGCTGGACTTCGCAGGGCAGAGTACAAGAGAGGAAAGAGCCACACAGAGAAAGAACTCTGGAAATCTCCAGAGGGTCCCAAGGATCTCTGTAACATTGCATTAGGCAAAGATTTCTTAGATGTAACACCCAAAACTTTATGCGTAAAAGAAATGGATAAACTTGAGTTCATTGAAATCAAGAACATCTGCTCTTCAAAAGACACTGTTAAGAGAATGAAAAGACCATGCCATACACTGGGAGAAAATATTTGCAAGTCACAAATCTGATACAAGCCTTGTGTTCAGAATAGAGCAGGAATTTTCAAAACTCAGTCATAAGAAGCCAACCGAATTTTTAAAAAAGGATAAAATATTTGAACGTACACTTCACCAAAGAGGTATGGATGACAAGTCAGCACCTAAAAGATGCCCAACATCAGTAGCATTAGGAAAATGTACTTTAAAGCCCCAAGATACTACTACAAACAATTAGAATAGCAAACACTAAAAAGTCTAATCCTACCAAGTGTTGGCGAGGATGTACACGAATTAAAACTCTCATACACTGCCGGTGGGAATGCAAAATGCTACAACCACTTTGCAAAACAGTTTAGCTAGCTCTTACACAAGTAAACATACAACTACCGTATGATCTAAGCCATCCCATCCTTAGATATTTACCTGAGACATGAAAACATATATTTATATGAAGACTTGTACACGAATGTTCATAGCAGTCCTACTTGTAACAGCCCAACACTGGACATAACACAAATATGCACCAACAGGTGAATACAGACTGTGGTTCATCCACACCATGAACCACTACATGGCCACAGGAAGAAATAAACTATTAGTATACTCTACCATATGGATGAATCTCAAAATACTTACGCTGAATAAAGGAAGCCAGGCCAAAAAGGAGGACATGCTTTAAAAACAAAAGTATACGCTGCGTAATTCCATTTATGCAACATTCCAGAAAATACAAACATCTATTTTGACAGAAGAAGCCTATCACAACAGGGAGCAGGAGGAAGGGATTAAGAAGCACGAAGAAAACTTTGGGGGTGAGGGATATGTTGATTTAGTTGGTGATGGTTTCATGGTATATACATATGTCAAAACCTATCAAATTGTACACTTTAAACACATACCATTTATTGTAGTTTGATTGTATCTCAACAAAGCTGATTTTAAAGTAGAGTTCATTGATGCTTTTAGGGGTCAGAACAGTGGTTACCCTTAGGTATGGGTGGGTACATCAGAAGAGGGGGGCCGAAGAGGGTGTCTGGGGAGCTGATGAGGGTCTGGGCGCTCATAAAGATGTGTTCCACTGGGGGAAACACACGAGGTGTGCACTTCTCTATGTATGTGATACAGCTCACTACTGAGATCTGGACCGGAAATTTGCTTCTGTAAGCGGGTAGGAGGGCAGGGTCAGAGTTCACAGACACCTGGGTCCCCCAGTCCCAAAGCCCAAGTTGACACCTGACAGCGTAGAGGAGTGGGCGTGAGGTGGGCTTGGGCGTTTCCCTTACCTTCCGCTGCAGGTCTCTCATCTTTCTGGACCTTTCTCCTGGACAGGCGGGGTTGGCTGGCTGCGGTGTAGGCCCTGGTCCTGGCTCTGGGGGCTTTTCCGCCTGGGCCTGTCTCTCCTCTTCCTGCCCCCAGAATGACTTCGGGCCAAATAGCCTGCCGGCTATTTCCTCAGCATTTTCCAGCCGGAGCCCCAGCTAGGAAGGAAAGCCAGGGGCTCAGGGAGGAGTAACCCAGTCACAAGGTTGACCAAGAGCTATGGGGTTGGGAGCTTGAACAGGGGGCCCTGGGCTCCCCAGGGTCCATCCAGGCCCAAGTGCCAAGAGGTACAATCTTAGAAAGTCATCAAGCTCCAGATCTACCTGGCAAGGGCCACAAAGCAAGAATTCCTACTGATTCTTTAAGCCCTGGTTCAAAGGTCACCACCTCTGGGAAGCCTTCCCTAAATTCCCATATCACTCCCTTCACACAGTCCCCCTCCCCTCCCCCAGCCAAATTTATCACTCCTTCCTCGAGTGTCAAGCACACTACTCCAAGGTCACACTCAGACTAATTTGTGTGTCTCTCTTGCAAGATCCTGAGTTCCATGAGGGCAGGGACCTGTGTCTCATTCACTAAGCACACTCAACCCCTGGTGGTATGGTTAATTCTGTGTCTACTTGATTGGGCCATGGGGTGCCCAGATATTTGGTCCAACATTATTACAGGCGTTACTGTTAGAGCATTTCTGGATGGCTTTAACATTTTAGATCAGTAGACTGAGTCAAGCAGATTGCCCTCCATAATGTGGGTGGGCCTCATCCAATCAGTTGAAGGCCTGAATAAAACAAAAGTCTGCCGTTCCTCCAAATAAGAGGGAATTCCTCCTGCCTGACTACCTTCAGACTGGCACACTGGCTTCTTCCTGCCTTCAGACGGGAACTACACCATCAGCTCTCCTGGCTCCCCAGCATGCTGACTGCAGGTCTGGGACTTGTCAGCCTCCATAATCCTATTGAAATAGTTCTATGTCTCTGGAGAACCCTGACTAACAGATGAGCTGGTTGATTCTCAAAATTTGATGGATGAATGAACAAGTCCCTCCTTCCTTCCATCTGCCCATCCATCCACCCATCTGTTCACTCACTCTTGCATCCCTTCTTTCCATCCTCCCATCCAAGTGTCTCTGAGAGCATTTGCAGAGAAATCACCAGAGGGTCAGCCTTGAGCCCCGCGGGCAAAGTTTGGATGATAGGTTCCCTGTTCTCCATAAATTAGAAAGGGTTGGGATACGGCACAGAGCACCCTCCCTCAGACAAGCTACAGGGACCTGGGGGGAAGAAATGGAAGGGTCCCAAGTCAAGCCATTACTTTAAAGTTTGCTGGACAATAAAGAAAAATCAACACTTGCCAGACGCACACACACAAAATAAATAAAAATAAAGTTTGCTGGACATGCGGCCTCAGAGATCTTCCCTCTTCCGCTGCTGCCCCCCACAATCCATTTTCCACACAACAGCCAGAACTTTCAAGTTATCACTTGCCAACTCAAAACCCTTCCTCGACATGGCCCTACTCCCTCACTGTGCTCCCACGTTACCATTCTCCTGCACTTACTGTTCTCTACTCTATTTCTGTTCCTTAAACACACTAATCCCTTTCTCTTCTCAGGAACTCTGCACATACTGGGCCCCCTCCCTGGAAGGCTCTTACCTCAGCTTTTCACATGACTGCTTTTGTTCATCCTTCAGATCTCAGCTGAAACTTCACCTCCCTAAACACACTACTTAAAGTTGCCATCGTTTTATCAATGTGTCTACTCATTTCTTATCTGTCTACCTCTCTGGGCTGTGAGCACCAAGCGGGCAGAGATCATGTCTCTCTTGTTCATCATCATATTCTCAGAGCCCAGCACAGGGCCTGGTACATGTCAGGTAGAAGATGGATATTGTCCAATGATGACAGGTGGATAGATGGATGCAAGGATGGATAGATAAGTGGGAGAACAGATGAAGAGATGTGTGGGTGAGGAGACTGATAGATAGATGTATGGGTGGGTGGAAGGGTAGATGAATAAATAGGTGAATGAGAGGGTAGATGGAGAGATGGGTAGACAAGTACATAAATGAATAGATGGATGAGGACAGAAGGATGGATAGGTGGATGGATGGACAGAGAAGAGGTATAGACGTATGGAAGAGCAGGTGGATGGATGGGTACGTGGGTAGGTGACTAGGTGGATGGATGGGGGGTGACTGAGAGAATAAATAGATGATTGAGTGAAAGTGTAGATGGAGAGATGAGTGGGAGGGTAGATGGATGAGAGAGATTAATGAGATGGATAGATGAATAATGGATGGATGACAGATGGGGTGTGAATGGATGGGTGGGTGGGTGGGTGGAAGGATGGATAGGTGAGTGGACGGATGATAACTGGAAGAATAGATGGGTAGGTGAGAAGGCAGATGGAGAGACGATGCAAAGTACATAGACGGACGAGATGGATGAGAAGGAGGGAGGGAAGGAGGGATGGGGTGGGTGGTAGTTGAATGGATTTATGTATCAGTCAGTAGGTGGGTGAATAGATGGGTGGATAGGCAGACAGACGGGTGGGTAGACGTCAAAAGCTGGAAGTATAAGATGTGAGAGTAGATCTATAGATACAAGAGGTGATGGATGGAAAGATAGATGAATGGCCCCAAGCCCAGGAGAGGCCCTGAGGAGAAGCAAGGCCCCCTCTTACCTCTAGGAGGTTGAAGGCACGACCAAGGGCATGGACAGTCAGGTTGGCTGTGGCAGAACGGGGAAGGAAGGAGGCCGGAGAGAAGAGAAGGGTCCCCTCCAGGTTGGCTCCCAGGCTGCCCGATGCTAGAACAGACAGAGGATCAGTATACACCACACCGTTAACCGGGTGGGAGCTGGCCACCAAGGGGCCATCGCCGGAGACAGGGCCAGACACACAGTGCATCCTCTTGGCCAGGATAGGAAGCTCAGACCTAAGCCTTACCTAGGGCAGAGGGAAGGTCAGAACAGAAGGGTCACAAATGTACCCACACCTGCTGATAGGCAGAGAGGGGGCAGCCAGAGCACCCCACCCCCAGACTTGCTGAGCAGTTGAGGGGGCTTGGGTACCTAAGCTAGAACAGGGTCCCTTTTTGATTCTGATTAATTACAAGGAGGCAGCTGTCTCTCTTCGATGCTAATCTCCTTTTTTCACCCAGGAAAAAGCAGTTCTCAAATTCACAGCCCTCGGCAGGCAAGGATCCATGAGAATTGAACAACAGTGTTTCACGGATACTGCATTTCTTTTTTAGGATAACCCTATTTTTACAGAGTTAAACTGATCTTCCACTCATGGTAGGGATAAAAGGTTTCCTTTTAGAATAAGTGTAAGTTTAAGAGAACCAGTTTAGAGAAAAGATGGAAGCGCTATTCAGCTGAATGCTATGAAGCGGCTCACACTTAACTATTTTTTAACTCTTCCAACAAAAATGTCAGGTGCTATTTTGGATACAGCAAAAAGATAAAAATAAAAAATCAAGCAAGTGGCACGTGAATATTTGACATTTGGGAAATGGTATCTTTGATCCACATGTCCTCAGGAGTTAGAACTCCCAGGTCCCCAAGCCTTTGTGGTCCCAGAGCAGGACAATACCTGCCCAGGATGCCCGTACCTGAGCGGAAGGTGACGTCAGAGTAGGACGAGTGTTTCCAGGTCTCTGGATGGAACTCTTGGCTGACAATGTCCTCAGGGATGGCCTCCCGGAGGGCCCGTTTCAGGGGGTCGCCTGTCTCCAGCAGCTGCAGGAGATGACTCCACACAAAGGAGCCCACTGGAGTCCCAGCGCAGCCAGTGGGGAGGGGAGGGGGGAATGGTGAGGGAGGACCCGGAGCTGGCACAACCCAGAGAAAAGACCCCACAACCCCCCTTCCTGGGTCCTGCTATTTCCACCCACCAGGGGCTTCTCAGGAGCCTAGCTACTGAGAACCACGTCCTCTTTGAAGAAACGGCGGCAAAGAGCAGTGCCTTAATGGAACTTAGAAATCTAGCCTGTGCAAGGCATTCTGACATGCTCTCCAGAAGGAAAAGGGGGGTACTGTGGGCAAAGTCCTGGTTTGAAAGTCAGCCCCGAGTCTGAATCCCAGTTCCACCATTTATGAGCTGTGTGACCTTGGGCTGGTTACTCCACCTCTCTGAGCCTTAGCGTCCTCATCTGTAAAATGAACTATAATGACCTATCTCTCAGGGCTGTTTGTGCAGATCAGTCAAGGGCAGAGCCTGGACCTAAAGGACTGAGTATCTTTCAGCGCTGGGAAAGGGGTGACATGCAATCCACGATGGGGACCCTCTGAGGCTCTCTAGAGTGGTAAAAATGAAATGAGAGCACCAATGAGGATATTATTCTAACTGGGAACCCCAGTCCTCTTGCCTGTCCCAGAGGATGTCTCAGAATGCCCAGCAGGGAGCTTCTGGAACAATCCACATGGAACAGAGCTGAGTCTGCCTTTTGTTTCCATCAGGCAACATGCAAGCCTGATACCCCAGGGCCTCCATCGAGGCTGTCCCTTGGCTGATCCCCTCTGAGGGGCTTGGCCCAGTGGCCTATTGATGCAGAACAGGCCCCTCTCCCACCCCCATTCCACCCCTGAACCTGCCAACAGCGGTCTGCAACTTCTAGTAGCACCATTTCTTTTCCTTTTGGCAAGGGGGCGGGGTTTGCTGTTTCTTTAGAAGGTAGTTTAGCAGTATCACTTCAGACTTTTAAATGTGTGCCCCTGGGCTTCCCTGGTGGCGCAGTGGTTGAGAGTCCACCTGCCGATGCAGGGGACGTGGGTTCGTGCCCCGGTCTGGGAAGATCTCACCTGCCGCGGAGCGGCTGGGCCCGTGAGCCATGGCCGCTGAGCCTGTGCGTCTGGAGCCTGTGCTCCGCAACGGGAGAGGCCACAACAGTGAGAGGTCCGCGTACCGCAAAAAAAAAAAAAAAATGTGTGCCGCTTTACGTTGGCTACTTTTCCTCTGGCTAGATTAGCACAAGGGCCCAGGAGTGGATATATAGAGAGATTCATTTTGGTTGTTGTTCCTCATGGCAGAAGGCCTGAAACAATCTAAGTGCCTATCGGTGGGGCTGGTAACGTCGATGACGGTTAAGCTCCTAGTGGAACACCGAACAGCTGTAGCTCAGAGCCCAAGTGTGCCGATGTGGAAAGAGCTCCCAGACGCACTGAGGAGCAAAATGCCATGTATAACATGATCCTGAGTTGCTACTGCTGTTAAGGAGATACACGCCCATGTTCATACGTACACTACACGTTCTGATGGGACACACAAGAGAACTGGTCACAGTCAGTACCTTCAGGAAACAGGACTTAGGGATCAGGAGACACGGAAGGCAGACTTTAACTTTCCATTTATATTTTGCCATCTGCTTTGAAATTTTGGCTACATAGTAGTAATAACAATGGTGATAATAACATTAAAAGTAACAGCTGTGCACACAGCTCTTACAATGTTCTAAATGTCTTCCTGTACCAACTCATTTTATGCTTCCTCTGCAAGGGAGGTATTATTATTATGCCCATTTCACAGATGAAGATGGAGGCTCATAAAAGTTTAGTCACCTGTCCAAAGGCACACAGGTAGGAAGTGGCTGACCTGGGATTTGAACCCAGGCTGGCAGGCCCCAGGGTCTCAGGTCACTGAAAATTATGTCAACTCACTGTACATTATGTAAAAACTTTTTGAAAATTAGTTGAACTTATTTTTTGAAGTTCCACCTGTTTAAAGGGAACTCTCTGACCCCACAATGGATCTGAGATTTGGAGACACTGTCCCTCCTCTGCCTCAAGTCTCTCCTCCAGGTACTGTGCCATGACCTGACCAGGGCTAGAAGGGAACTCAGCGACTTCCACCCCACTTTACAGATGAGGAAACTGAGGACCACAGAGAACCAACTTCTCCAAGGTTGTTCAATTGCCACGTGGGGGAGGGGAGCATGCAAGGCCACTTGTCCAGACAGTGTGCTAAGAGAAGGGGAGCGGGAAGGGGACAGAACACCTGACGGATGGAGCGTGAGCATGCCCCTGAACCCCTGCACCCACCAGGTGGCACCAGGCCAGCCCCAGCCCCCCAACCCCGACCTGCAGCTGCTCACCCTGGGTGGACGGCTCTCCTGCCTGGGTGCGCCGCACCTGGGCAAACACCTCCTCGTCCGGGCACCTCATCAGTGCCAGGTAGGCATTGATGCGGATCTCAGCATCCTCCTCGGGGCTTTGGTACAGGCTGGAGAGCACGGATCGCTGCCTCGGGCAGGGGGAAAGTCATCACTCAGGGACCACCCACCTCCACCCAGGAGCACGATGTCCCCTCATCTGCACTGGCTCCAGCAGGTGGCCCCGATGCCCTGCCGCAGCTCTCCTGACGTCTCCAGAGCTGCTCTAGACACTCTCACCTGTGGCCCGGTTGTGGGAGGTGGGAGGTTCCCCAGTCACTGCTAATCCCCATCCTCCCACAGGCCAGCCAGAGCCTCATCAATTTCCACAGGTAACAAGGGATAGACAAGTGGGCGTGGCTGCATTCCAAGAAAACTTCATTTACAGGAACAGCACAGCACAGCAACGGACACACAGGAGGTATTCCCGACCCCCCTTCCTAAGCAAGCCACCTCCCCTACCCCGTGATTCTCTGCCCCATCACCTGTTGGTTTCCTTCATAGCACAGCCATTTACCCATCCACTCATGCAGCAATATTTACTGAGCACCCATTATGTGCCTGGCAAGGTGCGAGGTGCTGGGTGACAATTATGAACAAGACAAACCCAGCTCTTATCCACCCGAAGCTTACATTTTAGTGCAGAGACAGACACTAAATAAGGTTATGTGAAATATATAATACGTTAGGTGATAATAACTGCCAAAGAGGGAAAAATAAAATGGGGAAGCCGGAGGCGTGGGGGGCTCGAAGAGGTCCATTTCAGATGAAATAGCCAAGGAAGACTGACAGCAAAGTGATTTCTAAGTAAAGGCCTTCTAGAGGTAAAGGAGTAAAGCCTGGGGATATACAGGGGAAAGGAATTCCAGGAAGGGGAACAGCACGTGCAAATGGCCTGAGACAGAAGGAAGCCCTGCAGGCTTGAAGAACAACAGGGAGACCAGTGTGGCTTATGAGGAGTGTGGGGGTGGTGAGGGAAGTAGGAGGTGAAGCCAAGAGGTGCTAGTGGGTCAGTGGTCAGACCACAGGTCCTGATAAGTCATTGTAAGGACTCTGGCTTTGACTCTAAGTGAGACAGGACCCGCTAGTACAGGGGTCAGCAAACTTTTCCTGTAAAGGGAAAGAGTCAATTTTTTTTGGCCTTTGCAGGCCATGCAGTCTCTCTTGCAAACTACTCAACCCTGCAGTCGTAGCAAAAAAGCAGCCCAGACTGCACATAAATGAACAGGCACAACTGTGTTCCAACAAAACTTTACATACAAGATCAGGCCATAAGCTGGACATAGACAATGGACCATGTCTTGCCAACCCCTGAACCAGAGCGTTTGCAGCACAGGTGGCTTATATATAGTTTGTTTGTAATCATATACTTATTTGTATATTTATTTGATAAATATATGCCTCCCACATAGACACAGGCTCTATGAGAACAGAGACCTGGACACCTGTTCACGCAAGTACCTACCACAGTGCCCAGCATATAACAGGTGCTCGGTACATGTGATGAATGAATGAGCAAATAAAGAAGTGAACAGTGGTTTGAGACCCACTACTGCCCAATGCCAACCACAATGAAATAACATGCAGAAGCTCACGTTTGCAGAGCAGGGAACCCTCCGGAAGGCCTGGATGGCCCCCAGCCGGATCTCAGGGGGGCAGCTCCTCAGGGACGCACAAGTGCTCAGCTTGGGGGTGAGAGCTACGGCCGCCAGGCCGGCATTGCCAATGGCCTTCAGCACGAGCTGCAGCTGAAACAAGATGGTGGTGGGGCCTTGAGGCCTGATGGGTACACCCAGCCCACCCATTCAGGCTACAGCTCGCCCACTTGACAGGGACCCCATCAAGGGGCCGTGCCCAGGATGGGGCTGTCCTCACCTGGTCAGCATCTGAGGGCTCCTGGAAGGTGCAGTTGGCACCCAAGGCGTCTTCCAGGATCCTCATGAGGGAGCCAACACCAGGCAGCTGCCCGCAGGGCCCGTCCAGAGACACACAGAGGTTATGCACCAGAGCTGAGATGCCCAGGAAGGCGCTGGGGCTGGCCTCCGGGGTCTGAAGCAGTGGCTGGGGACAGAAACCGGCCCCCCGACCCCAGCCGAGAAGCCTGGTAAGGGGTCCTTCACAGGTCTCGCCATGTGCAGATCTAGGGTGCTTCCTAAAAATACAGAGGCCCCGGCCCCCCACCCCTGAGGGTCTGAATAAATTGTCCATGGTGGGACCTGCATGGGGCATTTCTTAAAACACCCCAGATGACCATTCATGTGCATCGAGGATGGAGAACCACACCTCAGGGTGTGGGGACAGGGGACATTTGGCAACGTCTAGAGACGGGATGTTGTCACAGATGGGGGACAGTGCTGCTGGCATCTAGTGGGCAGAGACCAAGGATGCTGCTAACCGTCCTCCAAGACAGCGGACAGCCCCACATGTCAACAGTGCCAGGGCTGAGAGACCCTGGGCTACATCACCAGTCTGGGGGAGCAGGGTGGGGGTGGTGAGGTTCTTCTGGGTGGACTATGGTGAAGAACCTCCGACAAAGTGTCAGGACCCACCCCGGGTGGGCGGCACGGCTCTGCCACCTCCCAAGATGTATGAAACGTGTAAGAAATAAAACCAAAGTTCTCTCTCTGTGATCAACGGGCAAAACAAGTAAGCCAGCTTTTTATGCCCTTCTGTAAAGCCGCACGAGAGACCAACCATCTCTTCTGGGACCATAGGATCCCCAAGTAGTGGCCACAGTCCCCTGTCTACAGCAGGGGAGACGGAAAGCAGACAAGCTGTGTCCTGCCGCCCAGCCAGGCTGGTTTTTCCCAAACAGCATCACCCGCCCCCAGTTCTGGGAGTGAGAGGGATGAACGGGCAAGGGCTGGGAGAGCTCCCAGGCCACTGTACCTCCCGCCTGTCAGCTGGGGCGACTGGGACCATGCTGTCCTGGACCTGGTGGGGGCTTGAGGGCACCCAGCATTGGCTTTGCTCTTCTCCCAGGGTCTTGATAGGAAGTTGGGCAAAAAGGTGGAAAGAGGAAAGGATGTGCTCTGAGTGGAGACTGTCTTTAACAGAGGTGGCCCTGGGTCCAATCCAAAAGAACCCAAATGGAAAGGCACGGCCAGTAGCATTAGTGTAAATGGTGAGCAACTGCCTAGCCCACCTACTGATGAAAGCAGCTCTTTTGCCCCTTTCCTGTTCACCCATTTCTGTCCCCCCTCTAACCCTAAAAGCCCAATTATAGGAATGAGATCACTAAGCAGTTAAAACGGACTCCTCCTGACTTATGCTTTTCTGAATGCACACCATGCCTTGCCTAACCTGCTGATTCTTTTCCTAGATAAAAAGAAGTAAGAAGAAAGTGAGAATAAAGAATGACTAGCTCTCTACCCCCAACAGCCCCCTGAGGAGTCCTGCAAGCAGATCACGCAGGCAAGATAACATCTGAAGAGAGAGTCAGCCAGTCTGCATGCACAGAACAATGCAGAACCCAATCTCCTGCCCCAGTGATTCACTGAGATTCTCCCCCCGTGTTTCCCTTTAAAAACTGTCACGGCTGAGCAGAATCTTCAGAGTTGGTCTCAACACACAAGCCCACCTTCTCCCCAGACTGCCGGCTTTTCTGATTAAAGCAACTTTCCTTTCTACTGACACTTGCCTCTCGAATTATTGGCTTTTTAGTGGTGAGCAGCTGAACCTGAGTTTGGTAACAGACCCAGGAAATAAGAAAGTCCCTTGTGTATAGTGCTTGCCAATTTCCATGGTGTAAATGCTCCCACCCTGGCGATTTGAGCTGAGTCACTACAAGGGATCTGGGAAGAGATGGGGAGTCAGCAGCAGGCACACCTCCCGTGACTGGTCCACACACGACACAAGCAATGCAAATAAGCCTGAGGGTGTGGACACGGGACCGCATAGTAAGAGCATTAGAAATTAACCATCTCTCGGGGCTTCCCTTGTGGCGCAGTGGTTAAGAGCCCACCTACCAATGCAGGGGACACGGGTTCAAGCCCTGGTCTGGGAAGATCCCACATGCTGCGGAGCAGCTAGGCCCGTGTGCCACAGCTGCTGAGCCTGCGCTCTAGAGCCTGCGCGCCACAACTGCTGAGCCCGGGTGCCACAACTACTCAAGCCCGCCCGCCTAGAGCCTGTGCTCCACAAGAGAAGCCACTGCAATCAGAGGCCCGCTCACTGCAACAGAGATCCCATGCAACCAAATATAAATAATAAATTATCCATCTCGTACCTTTATTTTAATATGATTTCTCTAACTGCAAGCTTAGATCATTTAATTTTTAATAATGGCTATGTTTATCAATCAGCTTGAAAACTACCTGAAAATCAAGACTCTCCCACAGCACATGTTGGGGCCCTTTTCGGTCTGGTTCCCTGAAGAGCAGGAGGAGACCCAGCCCTCCTTTGGGGGTCAGACTGCCCAACCCACCCAGCTCAGACAGGCCCCTCTCTTCCGGGGGCCTCACAGTGGCAGGGACTCAGCCCCGGCTGAGTCGGAGGAGGGTCATTCCAGCTGCTCAGCAGAGCTCCCCCAGACGCTCAGCCACCCTTACCCCAGGGCACTGAAGCTTTCAGCTGAGAGGAAGACAGAAATGGGGGGGGGGGGGCTCAAAAGAGGGGAACGCTGGTTCTAGGCCTCTCGGAGGAAAACCAAGAAAGACGTATTTTATTTAATAAACACACAGCACTCCCTATGTGCCAGGCTCTGCGGTTAACAGGGCACACGTGTCACCTGCTTAGAGCCTGAGACACAGAGAGGTTAAGTAACTTGGCTAAGGTCACTCAGCCAGAAAGTGGTAGAGCCAAACTTGACCCTGTAGGGTCTGGTTCCCAGGCTGGGCGCTCCCCCTGCACTCACTGTTTCTCAAAATACATATTCTGGGCTCATTTGTGAAAACCAGACCCAGGCACTGGGCATCAGACAGTGGCCTCGATTATTCCTACAGCCCAGAGCAGGGACCGCCTGGCAGCCTGGGGGAAATACAGCCTCTGCACCAGCTGTTCTTCCCTTGGGTTCATGGTCTTAACCAGGTCTGTGTGTCCACGCAAGGGTATCTGTGTGCGTGCATCTCAGTGTGTGTGTGTTTTAGAATCTCAGTGTTTGTGGGTGTGTGCATTCCTGGGTAGGTGTGCACGTGTCTCAGTGTACATGCATATCCCAGGGCACATGTCCCAATGCGTGTGTGTGCACTCATTCGAGTGTGACCTGATGTGTGTGTGCACATGTAATGACGTGGGTGTGTCCCCGTATGTACACATGCAAGTCCCAGTGTGTGAATGCACACTTGTCCCAGTTTATCCTGGGGGGGGTGTCCAGGTGTGGGTGGATGTCCCTACTTGTCCCTGTGTGTGAGTGTCCTGGTGTGTGTGTGTACATGTATGGCATGTCTGTGTGAGTACGTCTGCATGTCCAGGTACACATGTGAGCCTTGGTGTGTATGTCTCAATATGTGGGTACATGGGGATATGTGTCCTCCTGTGGGTGTGTGTCCCCATATGTTCCCATGTAACCATCTTCAGGGTATACGTATGTGAGTCTTGGTGTGTGTGTGTGTGTGTGTATGTGTGTGTGTGTTTCCTTTGTGGAAGGAACGGGGACCTGTGGCTTGGAAAAGCATATGCAATGTTATTCCAGATTTGGCAAATGAAAACAAACACTCTGTTTTCTTAACACAGAGGAGGGAAAGCAGGGCTCGGCTGGGATGCAGGGGTTATGAAAAGATTGAGAGAAGCCGCTCAGACCTGCGGGATGAGGGTTCCTGCCTGCCAGAGGCCTCCACCTCTGCCTGCTCTGCCCCAGGAAGGCTGCCAGCATGAAGGCAGGGCAGACTTGGGCCCTCCCAGGGCCAAAGATGGAGCCAGAAGCCTGGGAGGGCTCTGTGGGGAGGGCAGGACAGCTGGAGCCACTTGGTTTGCTGGGAGCCAGGCCCCATCTGGGAGCTACAGGGCCAGGACAGCTGGGCCAGTGTCAGGCCTGGGCTCTGAGAGGGTCCGGACAGTAATGACCCTGCTTGTTTGACAGCCGCCCTGGGGGTCTGTCCAGAACTGCCAGCCTCCCTCAATTTCACAAGAGTCAGAACGCCAGATCTTAATGCCAAAATCTCTGACTTAAAAAGGTTTGGTTCGGGACTTCCTTGACAATCCAGGGGGTAAGACTCCACACTCCCAACGCAGGGGGCCCGGGTTCGATCCCTGGTCGGGGAACTAGATCCCGCATACATGCAGCAACTAAGAGTTCGCATGTCACAACTAAGACCCAGTGCAGTCAACATAACTAAATAAATAATTAATAAAACAGTATTTTAAAAAAATAATTCAATTAAAAGTTTGCTTCAAATATTCAACTTTCTTTTTTTAATCTTTAAAGATGGAAAGATGAAATCATCCCTAAGCCTATGACCACTTTTCCAATGTGACTTTAACACCCATTCATCTTGTCCCAAACCCAGTTCCTCATGTCCAAAGCAACCCTCCCCAAAACGCCAAGCAATTAAGCTGGTAGGAAAAAAAAAACACAGGAAGCACCATGACCTTGGGGAGGTGAAGCACTAGCTGGAAAAGACTGACCAGCTGGACTTCACCAAAATGAAGAACTTCAGCTCAGCAAAACACACCATTAATACAGCCCAGCAACAGAACAAAGTCCCGACACACACGTGTGCATGCACACGCGTCACGGACAGAATCTCACAGAGAACGTGGGAGAAAGAAGCCAAACTCCAGATGCACACGAGCCCATGGGTGTGAATGTCAAAAGCAAGCAAAACCTAGTGATGGTCAGAAAAGTCAGAATCACCACGACCTTTGGGGTCACCGACTGGGAGTTGGAAATGTCCTATATCTTGTCCAGGGGTGGTTACACAGGTGAACACGGATGCGAAAACATCAAACTGGATACTTAAGAGCAGGGCAGTCTCCTGAATGTATAGTTTAAAATGTAAGAACACACACCCCCTAACTGCAACGTAGGACCCTGGGCGGGACCCTGGAACAGACAGAGGACATTAGTGGAAAAAGCAGTAGGATCTGAACAGCTGGAGTTGGTTAACAGTAAGGTAGCAAGGTCTGTTTCTTAGCTGTAGTAAACACTTTCTGGTGATTTAAGAGGTTAATAATGGGGGAAGTGGGGAGGGGTGTACAGGAACTCTGTACTATCTGCAACTTTTCTGTAAATCTAAAATTATCCTAAAATAAAAAGTGTATTAAAATAATCTCTTGCTGGGCTTCCCTGGTGGCGCAGTGGTTGGGAGTCCGCCTGCCGATGCAGGGGACGCAGGTTCGTGCCCCGGTCCGGGAAGATCCCACGTGCCGCGGAGCGGCTGGGCCCGTGAGCCATGGCCGCTGCGCCTGCGCGTCCGGAGCCTGTGCTCCGCAACGGGAGAGGCCACAACAGGTTGAGAGAACAAGCAAATACAGTCCAAAGAGGTGCAAGGTCTGGTCTTGCAGGATGAGAACCTACGAGAAGCAGGCGAGAGAAGATCCTGGGCTCCGAGACAGCCGAGACACCCACCTGCTCTGCTCACGGCGTGTCCCTGGCACGTGGTCACAGCAGCGATCCCAGTGCGTACATAACACTTAGCCCACGTCACAACGACTATTAGTCTGCACCATCACCCTACGAGTTACTCCCACCGCACGGACGGGCACCCGAGGCACAGAAGAGTGAAGCATCTTGCCCAAGGTCGTGCTGGTAGGGACAGGGCTGGATCCCGAAGCAGAGGGATCAGGCACCAGAGTCTGCTTTTGGCCGCTGCATTCATGCTGAACAAACAAAGAAGGAATAGGGAGCCCGACCCTGCCCAGCACTGGCTGAGCCTCCGTAGGCCCTGGATGGCGCTGACGTCCCTATGGTCAGAGTGTCACCTGCTAGGCCATGAGCTATGGGTGATGCCCCTTGGGGCCTGGCCCTCGTCTGGCTCCAAGTCAGTGCCCGATTCCCTAATGAATGGAGCCAACCACACAGCCTAGAACAGCCCCACTGCAAACTCTGGAGGTGTGGGTCAGGGGTCAGGCCAGGGGTGAATGCTCCCTACACTCCAACTGGAGAGTGGCCAGAGCCCCTCCAGCATGAAGGACTGAAAGATCCTGCTGGAGACCCCCTCATCAGCCAGCACAGGGGTCCAGGGACCCTGGCTGGCCCGTCACCGCTTCCACTCCCCACTGGTGACCTCTGAATCCCGGCCCACTACCAGTCTGGGACAGCAGGGTGAGGACTGACAAGTGACCCCACCACCAGCTGAGTGCAGACACCCCCCATGGTCCAAGGGAAAGGCACAGCAGCTGCATCACCCAGCTACCCAGCCTCCTTGGGCCTCAGTTTCCTCATCTGTAAAATGGGAGTGATAAAAGCACCTACTTCATAGAGGCATCGTGGGGGTTAAATAAGACCTCCTTGTGTTGTCAGAAACTATTGGCCTAGTTTCACATGCTTTCCTAATCTCAAGATTCATTAAATATGCTTGATTACAGGAATAATAGCAGCTCTAATTTAAAGCGCTTGGACTCTGTGCCAGGCATCAGGAGAACTGCTTCACATTCAGCATCTCATTTCTCACCATGAGCCCAAGAGGGAAGTACTGCTCCATCCCCACCTTACAGATTGGAAAACAAGCTCAGAGAGGTCAAGTCACTTGCCTAGGATCACAGAGCTGGGAGGGACACTGCTGAGACTCAAACCCGGATTTCTCTGACCTGCCTCCACTGGTCCCACGAGGCACTGGCACAAAGCCCGGAGGACAGAAGGTTCCCCCACCCCTCCCCACCGCATCCAATCAGCAGTGGAGCAGGGGAGGGATGACACGGGGCGGGGTGGTATGCAGAGGCTCACCAGCAGCGCGTGGACCATAGCATCTGTGGGCTGCGGGACAAACGCCAGTGACCAGAGCCACGCCTCTGTCTCATCTGCCTCCAGCTCCCCGGACACAATGAGTTCCGCCATGAGGCTCACACAAGGCTTGGTTCCACAGGAGGGCAGGGCATCCACCAGCGGTCGCCTGAGATGGAGAGAGGCCCAGGGAACATCGTGATGGCAGCCCACACACCCCAGGAGCCTTCCAGGACATCTCTTGTGAAGCCTCAGGTCATCCGGGAGCGATCAGAGGCTCGGAGGGGTACAGCAGGGACCTGTCCACACTCACACCCCCGGGAAGGGGCTGAGCCGGGCCTGGGAGCCAGGCAGCCTGGCCGGGGGCCTGTGCTCTTCGGGCCACAGAGACACCAGCAGTCCAGTCTAAACCCTTGCAGTGCTGCCCACCCTGGAGACACAGCGGTTTGGGGCAACATGAGTCCCTGCCCACTGCTCTCCAGAAACCAACCATGGTCACCATGTAGGGTGAGAACCCCTTGCATAGAACAGGAAGCAACAATTAGCAGGTTGCCTCCCATTAAACCTCTAATGCTCTCAGCCCAACATCAGGATCTTTTCCCTTTTTTTTTTTTTTTTTTTTTTTTTTAAGATTACCGAAAGGTTGAGAAGTTCCAGAAAGGTTTCCAACCTTTGCACAATGATGGGTCTAAACAGGAAAATGATGACTGAACGGGGGTGGGTGCATAGGTCGCAGTAGAAACGGGAGGTTCCCAGAGCTGGGGTCACACGAGGCAGCAGGGCACACGGTGGGGGGGTAGATTGGGACCCCCCCCACCCCATCAACCCTGATGAGTGGCATCCATGGCCACAAAGGACCAGGCACCCCCACTGCCCCGCTCCACACACACCATCTGCCCATGAATAGTCTCTGGCCTCAATTTGCTCATCTATAAAATGGGAATGCTGATGACAAGACCAGCCCCAAGATGAGCGTGAGCCCTCATGAACACAGGCCACTTCACCTGAGGAATGTCCTACCTGTCCTTCCCATCTCTTGCCCTTGTGTTTCCTCTCTTTTCCTCATAGATTTGGGCCTTGGAAAACCAGCCTCTGGGCAGAAATGGAGGAGGAGGTGAGGGCAAGAAAAATCTCTCAAGAGTGTCAGTCCTCTTGGAAACTTCTAGAGCTGGGGAGGGTCTCCCCTCTCCCTGATTCCCGACATCTAGGTAGACAAGTGAGACACAGGGGCTTGTGGGAAAATCCCGAGTGACAAGTAGGGTGAGTCACGAAGGGAACAGGCAGCTCCACAGGAAGACTCAGGGGCCCCTTCCTACACCAAAGATAATTAAAATGTGCCCGAGTCAAATATCCTTTCTCTTTAAGCCCATGAGAATTCGATGGAGCAGCACAGACCACCTGGGTCAAAAATCCCGACTCTGCTGTGTAACCTTGGGCAGGTTTCCTAACTGCTCTGTGCCTTGGTTTCCTTCCACAGCTGTAACATAGGAATAATAAAACCACCTACCTCATGGGGTCATCATGAGGATTAAATGAGTGAATAAGACATAAAACGCTTGGAAGGTATCTGTGCCTTATTAGTTACTAAGTTTGGTGGTCGTTCAATTAGACATTCGGTAATGTTGGTTTGGGGATGGGGGTCTTTCATAGTTCCAAGTCGATAAAATGTTTTCAGGTCTCAAAATCTTTTTGAGAGCTTTTGAAAAGCTCACAAGCCTGAAATCCGGATCTCAGGGGTCCAGTGAACGGCTGGACTCGGGGAAGGAGCTGCAAGCTTTCCCCTGCACAGCGCTCAGCCGATGGAGTTAGGTCCTCAGAGGTTCCCCTCCACGCTTGGGGGTCTCTCTACACCCCTTGCTGGCCTCACATCAGGCAGGTCCCAGCCCTGCCCAGCACCCCTCCACCCCCAGGAGAAGGGTACCCAAGGCGCATTGGAATGCTAATTCCAGCTCTCAGCAAGAGGGTCCCTGTGTGGGGAGGGAACAATGCCTGTCTTTATCCGGCCAGGTCCTGCAGCCTCCAGTCTCCCGAAGCCCCCGTGGGAACCCTCCAAGCTCCCCTCTTAATCGCCTTCTTGGCAGACGTCCCCAGACTGAAGGACGACAAGTCAGTATCACAGGGATGAGCTGAAATGTCGCCATCCATCTCTCAATGGGGACCTAGGACAGCATCAAGACTACCCAGCCCACCAGGACCCCCAGGCAGCTCCTGGCCCAGCCCCCGACTCGGGGAGAGGCCCTTACCAGTTGTCTCGGCATTTGAAAAAAGAATGTTCCCAGAGTTCCATGAGCTCATCCGCAGAGAGGCCCCGGAGCTCAGACACCAGCGTCAGGAACAGCTCTGCGGCCTAGAAATCAGAGAGGAAAGTGTGAGAGGCCCCAACCGCAAGGGTCACCTCATCCATCTCCTTGCCTCCAGGCATGGCTGCAAACACTAGGATCTCCTGCCTACGGTGTCACAGACCCAAAGAGATGAGGCTGCTCGTCTGGGCTTCCTTCCACTGAATCCCAGCTCCTGGCACACAGCCTGGCCCATTCTTTTTCTTTAATTTAACAAGCATTTATTGGGCACCTACTACATGCCAGGCATGCTTTAGGGGCCAGGGATGTGCGGGTGAAGAAGAGACACGGCATCTGCATTTGTGGGCTTTATACTCTAATAAAAGCTCGATACATGTTCACTACGATTATAATCTAGTTATTATAATGAGTCAGCATATTTCACAAAGTTAGTGAGATAGCCATCTTTTCTGATATTTTTAATGAAAAAAATATGTGAACGTTTTTCAGAGTTATGAGCAGTGATGGCTAATCAACAGGGGTTTGCAGTTTTTGCCCCTTGTCTGCAGGTCTGAGCAGCACAGTCACCAAGTCTCCAAAAACCCAAGGAAATAAAGGACTCTATTCAGAGCCCGCACCTCTCGGGTTTCAGGAGATGCTTGGCTTGGGATGCCGGCCCCACATCCTGCCTTCCCTCCCCGGTGCCTCTTCAGTCTCAGATTCGTTGCCTCGGCCCGAGCCCAAAGCCACAGAAAGAGTGACGAGGTCCTGGCTTCCCGCTGCGCTTGGCGAAGGCCAAGAATGAGCCCTCACCCCACCCAGCCAGGGGTCCACTATTGCTGGGACGGGTTTGCCTCACCTCAGGCCTCCTCTGCTCTGAGCAGCTGAAACTGAGTCCCCGTGCACAGAGCTTGACCTCAGCAAGACGCAAACGCGAAACAGGCCCCTCACAGGCCAGCGTAATCCACCCTCCCCTCCCTTCTCACCAGCACATCTGCCCCCAGGGCCTGGGCAGCATCCCCATCGTGTGCCTTCTGCCGGTGGAGCCGATGGGGACCCTTCGTTCTGCCTTTAATTCCTCATGCAGGACACACAAGCAGCCCCCTGTCGGGGCCGACCACCACCTTTAGAGTGGCCCTGGCCAGCATCGGCCTAGTTTGGGGCAGCTACCCCAGGAGCCCTGCCGCCTTCTGGACAGGCTCGGGTGCATTTCCCTCCAGCTGGTGGCTGCCTTGCCCAGGCATCATCTGTGAATCCCTAGACTCGGAACACATCTGCTTCTAAGACCTCCAGCACGTGTGCAGCCGCCGGGCCTGGCTGGGCATCCGCTCAGGAGCAGGCCTCCTGCTCTGGGAGGCCTCAGGCTGCAAGTGTTGGCTTCAGGAACAGCTTTCCAGAGCCAGACGCAGCAGGAGGGGCTGTAGCAGCTCATCCCGGAAGGCTTGCGGGTGGAGGAAGGAGGCTGTCATTCCTGCCTCCTGGGCGAGAAGCCCGTCCCCACCATCGCCACTAACATCTATGCAAACGATAATAACAACGGTTACTTTGTTTGGAGCCTCAGCTGTGTGCCAGGTGCTGTTCTAGGCACTTTACAGGGACCATTTCATTTGACCTTAACCCTGTGAGGGGCCGTCATTATCCTCACTTAACAGAGAGCATTTAAGTCAGGTGCCAGTGGACACAAAGCTACTAAGTGGCAGAGCGAGACTTGGACCCACACTCTTAACCAGGATCCTACACTCAAGGCCATGGGGAAAAAAGAAAAGCCAGCCCTGTTTGCCAGTTTCCAAGGTGTGAATACTCCCACTGCAGCCCATCACCAGCGGCCCGTGTGCCATCACTGAACGCAGACGTGGGAATCACTGTGCAGAAGCACAACACTGCGTCACAGTTCCACCCTGCGGTAGATGCAAATAACCTCCACTGCAAAGATTAAAATGTAGTAAGATAACTAGGTAGTGATGATTTTGAGCATTCATTACCCTTGTTTCGAGTATGATTCATTTTCATTGTAAGTCGCTATAACTTAGTCTTTAGTAATGTCCGTTTAACAACCAGTCTGCAGGATTTCTGGAATCTAACCATTGGCTCTGGCAAATCGGTACAAGCCAGCCTCGCACACCACCGTCCACACTTCGCTGTACACAGTCGGTGCTGAAGCAATATCTGTGACTTGGGTGTCCTATTACGAGCAACCTGGATGGTGGTCAGGAGCTGTGCCCTCCCCAGGCGTCCTCCCTGGCAGCCCTGGGAGGGGGTGGGGCCCGACCCGCCTTGCTTCTCTCCCCATCCTCTCCTTCACTCCATCAGGCTCTTGGCCATCCCAGCCCGCTGCCCCCCACGTGGAAACTCGGGGGGCCTCTCTGCGGAGGGGTCAGGCTGGGGAATTTGCTCTCCATTGAGTCCTGAGTCCTGGTTTTGTTTCCAGACTGAAAAACCAATCTTGTCTCCTGCCCATCAGCAATGGGGAGGGGCAAAGGCATTCTTAGCTGAAGCCCACGGGGTCGGTCCCCCCGGTAACCGACGGGCCCTCAGTCCTCCCGGGGAGGCCAAGGCACTGCTTGATGTGCACCAAAGCATCCCTGAAAAGCCATTTTCAGGAACAAGGTCCTTGGTAATTCACCCCCAGCCCAGGGGACCTCCCTAGTGGGAACAATTTGCTTCCTTGTTAGCACTATAAATACAGGGCAGCCGCCCTGCACCCTCTGGGGCCGGCACTGCCAGTCTCCAGGAGGGGAGACAGAGGCCCACAGCACGCCTGGCCCCGAGCCACCTCTGTCAAGGGAAATGCCCAGTCAGGGGGCCGGACGGGAGGAGGCAGGTTAGGACACAGGATGCAGAGCGGCAGTTCTCAGTGGGGGTGACCGTGCTCCCCAGGGGACGCTGGCAGCCTCTGGAGACACTCTGGGTTATCATGACTGGGATGCGGGTGATGCTGGCATCTAGTGGGTAATGGTCAGGAATGCCGCTGAACATCCGACAGTGCACAAGGCGGCCCAAGGCGTCAGGAGTGCCAGGGTGAGAATCCCTGCTGTGGGCTGGTTTGCCTGGACTAACAGCCCGCTCTGTCAGCCACTAGCTGGTGGGCTTGGACCACACATCGCAGGGCTGAGGGCCCTTTCCTTGGGGCTGCTCTCTGACTCCCGCGAGGCCCACGAGATCAAGGATTCCAGAGAGCGATGAGCATGGGCCTTGGCTCCCTCCCGGTCCCTGAAACGGTGAACAGCCAGCTGCACACGAGTCTCTGCTATACACACGCAAAATGTATAACGTGTGTGTACATGTGTGAGTGTTCAACATGCATTCGGTATGTGCATATACACTAGTCTATATTTACTGATGACATATTCAACATATTTTATACATATTCAACATATTCTTAGATATGTTTTTTTCCACGTTATATCTGAATCTGATTCTTCTCCCCACCCCACCCCCGCTGTCACCCCAGACCAAGCCTCCTTCATCTCCTACCTGTGTTACTGTAACAGCCTCTTAACCTGTCTCCCGACATCCCATTGGCCCTCAGTCCATTCTCCACCGGCAGCCAGAATGTGAGCACTGAAATGTACATCAGATCACAACACCCTCCAAGGTTCCTCATTTACCCTGAGTAAAAGTAATCTGGGGAATTCCCTGGCGGTCCAGTAGTTAAGACTCTGTGCTTCCACTGCAGGGGGAGTGGGTTCAGTCCCTGGTCGGGGAACTAAGATACCGCATACCGCACGGTGAGGCAAAAAAAAAAAAAAAAAAGCAATCTGTGTGCCCCCTTAAGGGGGCGACCCTGTCCCCTCTCACCCTCCCACTCCGCTCCAGTCACGAGGCCTCCTTGCCACTCAAACTGGTGCTGAAACTCGCTCACCGTGCAGCTCCTGCCCTGGCGCACGTGCTGGACCCGCCCCCTCTGGCAGTCCCCCCCCCCAAATCCCTATCCACCCCACTCACTCCTCACCTCCTTCTGGTCCTTACTCAACATCACCTCCCCTGTGAGGCCTTCCCAGGCATCCATCATTTAAAACGGCATCCCATGCCTCCCCCACCTGCCCCCTTCACCCCTCTTCCCCTCTCTACTTGTCTCCCCAGCCCCCTGGGGCCCATGATCCCAGGCGCAGTGGGACCTGGCTCTGCTTCCTGCATCTGAGCAGGACACAAGTGTCTGAGCCATCTCAGCCCAGCCCCCCAGGGACCGAGGGGGGCTAACCCCAGTCTGGATGCCCCCAGCCCTGTTCTCTTCTGAACTAAACGCTTCGCCTCACGCAGCCAGAGGCATCCACGAGGGCCTCTGGTGCTGAGAATTCCGGATGGAGACATTTCCGGCAGTAAAGGCACTCCCGGATCTGAGGCTGGGGCTGGACGGGCACTGGCCTCACAACATCCTTCTCCACTGACTTCACGTGAGCTACACCAAGAAACACAAAGCTTTGCACCCAGATGCCTGGTTCCCAGCCCAGACCTGCCAGGCCAGGACGTCAAAGGTTGGGGTCTGGGCATCCATATATCTGACAGGCCCCCTACCCAAGTGCTGCCCGGAGGGCAGGGGGTGTGCCTGGCACACCTGGCACCATGCCTAGAAGTGGGGCCGCACCCAGCCCTGTCCACACCTGGAACGACCTATTTCTGTCCAGCTGGGCACATGACAGCCCCCAAGTCCTCGGTCCTATAAAAGCAGCCAGTGAAACAGGCATTTATAAATTTGCGGCATCCCAAATCAACAAGCAAGTATACTTTGAACCCTCCCAGGCTGTTGTGGGATCAAAGTAAAAACACCCCATGCTTCTCTCCTCGGCACACAGGCCCTGGGACTTGAATCAGAAAAATCCCAGCATCTTTAATGCCTTCCAGGAAAGGCTAGGGTTCTCACGCTGAAGTCATCAGCAATGCTGAGATGGGCAGAAATAGTGGACACAGTGAAAGTCCCCAAAATGTCACTGGTGACATCCAGCCCTGAGCTGTGGATGGCAGGGATGTTACAACAAAGATTACTATGGGCCTAGAATGTTCTGGAAGGCATCCTGACCACGAGGCCCTGCAGGACCTGACCCCACCGGTCCTCACCGTCGAGCTCCAGCCAGGCTGAGCTGCGTGCTCCCCAAACATGCCCAGCGAGGTTCAGACTCAGGACTTTGGCCCTGGCCAAACCCTCCTTTTGGAGCACTAGTCCCCTGGATTCCCAAGGGACCAGCCCAGGTCTCAACTCCAGCGTACCCTGCTAGACCCCTGGCCCCTCAGCCACATCCCCGCTCTGTTCTCTCAGTGCCCATCAACAGCTAAAACCCTTGTACATTTGCAGTGGTTACCATCCATCTCCCCCACGCTGGATCTTAGGCTCTGGGAAAGCGGGGACTATTTCTGTCTCATTCGTCATAAGGGCACAGAGTAAGCCCGTCATCTTGCTGAACAAACCGAAGAGTTCACAGGCTAGGCAAGCCAGGGCCCTGCCAATAGGAACATTGTTCCTGTGATGTGGAAGGTCCCATCAGGAGGAGAACGTGGGAAGGCAGGCTCCACACGGAGCCCAGATGCATCATTTTCTTTCCCCAGGGAGGGCATTAAGCCTTCCTCAGGGCTCTCTTACAGGCAGGTGGAGGGCTCTGTCTCAGAACAAAACAGGCAGGGAGAAGGCACATCATCACAGCATGGCCTTGGTACTCTCAGAAACACTGTCATCAGTCACAAAGGAGGGAACCAGAGAGATGTCTCAGAGACCTCTGAAACTCTGCGCTATGAGACCTTGACATCATGTCCACCCCTTGACTTTAAACAGCTGGGAATTCCAAGGAAGGCCTGGGCCATGTGTTTTTGACTTGGTGGAAACTCCTCAATGCTGAGGCTTGGGTATGGCTGGAGATTTCCTGAGAGATCTCTAGGACAGGCCAGGTCCAGAAGGTTAGTCCATGAGCCCAAAAGGACCATTTGCCCAAAGACAGACAGAGGAGAAAAAGGCCTCCTCTAAGCTCATATCCAACCTGCACTAGGCCAAGGCTTGCACACACCAGCTAGATTTCTTCCCCTTCTTTGCCTTCACAACCAGGCATAGTTGTGCAGTGCACAACCTACCCGACAGTACACAGCAATCCTGATACTGAACATCTGAGCAAGTAGACCGTAAAGGATCTGGTAGGAAGAGGAAGGTGTCCCAGGGAGCCAGGCCCCAGGCAGACTCTGGCCTGTGGCTGGAGAAGCCACTTACCTCGAAGCTTGTGGTCTGAGCCAGGCACAGCTTCCTCACTGATGCAGCCACCATGGCCACCGTAGCCTGGGACGGTGTCTCCTCCCATTCGTACAACAGGCTGCTTGGGGTTAAGTCTCCATCGTCTGGATCTGAGATGGGAAGTGCTGGCCAGGGATGACCGCATGGGGGACAAGCCAGAGTGAGTAGAAGGACCCCTGGGAGCCACCCCCTCACCCTGCCAACGCTTCCTTCAGCATGTTTCTGGCAACAGGTGAGGGGAACATGCATAAGGAAAATCATGGCAGTGTTACTGCTAACAGCAAAAGACGGGCAACAGCCTATGTGCCCATCAGTAAGGGATGGCCAAATAAGCTGACTCCAAAGCCCTCTTGGGACTGACAGAGAAAACATGAAATCTTCATCCATGCAATGGAGGGTTATTCAGCTGTGACACATGCTACGACATGCATGAACCTTGAAAACATTCTGGGAAGTGAAAGAAGCCAGTCATAAAAGGCCCCATACTGGGAACTTCCCTGGCAGTCCAATGGTTAAGACTCGGCACTTCCACTGCAGGGGCCACAGGTTTGATCCCTGGTCAGGGAACTAAGATCCTGCATACCACATAGTGCGGCCGAAAAAAGAAAAAAAAAAGTCACATACTATATGATTCTATTTACATGAAATGTCCAGAATGGACTAATGAAGAGAGTAGATTCGTGGTTGCCAGGAGCTGGGGGAACAGGAGGTGACAGCAAATGGGTGCAAGGTTTCTTCTGGGGTGATGAAAACGTAGTAAAGTTGATTGTGATGATAGATGCACAACTCTGACTCTACTAGAAGCCACTGAATTGTTCACTTTACTTTTTTTTTCTTTTTCTGGCCACACCACACGGCTACGGGGATCTTAGTTCCCCAACCAGGGATCAAACCCAGGACCCCAGCAGTGAAAGCACCGGTTGTAACCACTGGACCACCAGGGAATTCCCTGAACTGTTCACTTTAAATAAATGAGTTGCACAGTATGTGAATTACATCTCAACTACAGCTGTTTAAAAAATGTATGTATGAAAAGGTCATTCCACTCAACGGGGAACCACCAGGTCCTGACACTAGATGTCCCAGTCACTGCCAGTGTCTGTGCCTGAGGGAGGGCTCAGGGGGCAGGTCAGCCTGGGATCTCAGCCTGGGCTCCGTGGAGCCAGAGGGAATGCTGGGAAGACCCAGGGCCTCAGTCCCCACCTGCTGGGTTCTCCCCAGGGTGGTGCAGGCAGGGAGTCTGTCCTCCGAGGCAAACATGATTCAACCCACCAGGGCTACAGAAAAGACCCCGGGGGTCCAAGTCCCAGCTCTCATTAGCTCTGTGACTTCAAACAAGTCATTTTATCTCTTGGAAACATTTTCCTTAAATGAAAAATACAACTAATAATAACAGTAACTTCCTAATGGGGTCATGATGAGAATTAAATTAAATAAGCCCCATAAAGCCCTCAGCACAGATACTGGCCCACAGTAAATCCTTCCAAACTGTCAGCAGTAAGAACTAACTACCCTTATTTCATTATTCAGGGAAACAGCCATTTTTCCATCATGGAAAACAAGAACAAAAACAAACAACTCTTTTCCTCAGATGCATGCCTTGCTTGTTTCTTTCTGTGCGAAATCATAGAAGGGACCCAAGCTCCAGGGGAGGCTACATGTTGGCAGGAACTTTCCAGAAAATCAGGAAACCTGAGTCAGTTTGCCCCCAAAATGGTCAGGTTGAAAGGTCATCAGATGTAAGGTGGATTCTCCCACAAAAGCTGGGAACCAGAAGATTCCATCTCCACTGAGGACCACCCAGGGAGGAGGCCAAGACCAAGCCTGGGCCATGTGAGCCGAGAGAAACTTCTAGAAAGAGAGGCTCACTCTCCTGACGATGGCCACTTTCAGAAACAGTTCAAGAGTGTCCAGACAGGGACAGAGGGATGGAGCCTAGGCTTGCTTGAGCCCCTCTGGCCAGGGGAGGCTGTGAGGCTCAACTAAGGGTCCCTGTACCCACCCTCATTCACCTGCGACAGCCGGGTCCTGGGGCATCTCATACAGCAGGGTGAGCGAGGAAAGGGTCCGCATCTGCACAGCACTCGCCTCCCCGGAGAGGGGCCCCACGGTGTCCAGCTCCATGCAGGATGCTTCCCCCAGCACTCCGGCCTGGAAACTCTGGACACAGGTCAGGCGGAAGGCCTCCTGGACCGTGGGGGGAAGAGGCGGAGGCTCAGGCCAGGCCTTGGCAGTGAGGGAAACCCCCCCCCCGGGGCCCCTGAAACCGGCAGCAAGGGCCAAGGCTGTGGGGGGGGAGCCCGCTGCGGGGGAGCTTCAGCACACCCCCTCCCCACAGAGAGAGGTGGAAGGCCAAGAAAAGCAAGAACGTGCAGTAAGCAGTAACCCCAAGGAGAGGAACGATAAAGCCTCAGCTGGAAAATGAATAACACCAGAGTCTGCAGTCCTGCATCAGCCTCCAGACGCTGAGGCTTTGTATAACCGTGTTAGCAGTGATCATCCCTTATCCTTATACAGTTGCTTACTATTTACACAACACTTTCACCTGCAGGGAGCTACGGACCCAAGAGGAGGAGAGGGGGAGAGGAGGGGAGAAGAGGGGGTAGGGCAAGGGGTGGAGGGAGAGGATGAGAGAAGAAGTGGGGGGAAGGGAATGGACAGAAGCAGCGGGAGGGGAGCAGAGTGGTGGGCAGAAGGGCTGAGAGATGGAGGGGGGAGGGGAGCAGAGAATAAAAAGAAAAGGGAGGGGGGCTAAGGAGGGAGGGGGGCTAAGGAGGGAGGAGGGGAAAGAAGGCGGCACTGCAAAGAGGATGGGAGGGTCTCGGGCACAGTACTCACCTCCGCTGCGGGCAGGGCCTGGGAGCGCAGGGAGGCGCGCACCCTGCGCAGGGAGCATCGCGCCAGGTCCTTGGTCTTGTGCAGCCTGGTTCCGCGTTGCTGATACATGGTGGGACACCTGCCCAGGATATCCTCCTGGGCGAGCGGGGCCCAGTCAGCCCCCTGCTCCCCCCTCACTCGACCACCCACCCCCTCCAGGCTCGAACCTCACCTCCTCGACGGTCTGGGGGCTGCGGGTGCCCGGGCGACCCTGCAGGAGGCTCAGCACAGCACGCTTCACGTTCAGCGTCCAGCGCGGCTCGGGGTGGCCAGGACACAGGCGTGCCACGCGCCCTGCCTGCAGGACGAAGCGCAGCGGCACGCGGCCCAGAGCGGCACTGCGCGGGGACCAGGCGTCAGGGGGAGGTGGTCCAAGGTCCCAGGCCACCTCTTCCGCAAGAGGGCCAGAACATCCCTGACCCTCCTGCGCACCACCCCATAGGTCAGTCCCGTGGGAAGCACCCAGGTACCCCCATATCGCCCCAAATGGTCTCGCTTCCCCTCCTCAGCTCAGCTCTCCAGCTACTTCTCAAACAACACAGGAGGCAGCCAACTCTCTGCTCCAAGCTGCTCCCAACCTTGCGGCCACTTGGAGGAAATGTACCTGTGTCAACCCAGCTTGAATAAACAACAAGCTGAGCTTCCAAGGGCATCCTGCATTGCAAAGCTTCTCATTCTCCCAGCTCACCAGGGAGGAAGCAGCCCCCACTCGCGCCGTATATGAGGAAGCTTAAGGCGCAGAGTGCTCAGGGCCACAGCTGGGATTCTAACCCGGGCAGGATGGCTCAGTCACAGGTCTCAGGAACCCTGAGCTGGAAGTGTCTGAGACTCCAGTACTGTACAGAGGAGGAAATGGGGTGGAGGGAGCTACCGGAGGCGATCACACAGCCAGCCTGCGAGGAGCTGGGACCAGAGTTCAGCACAATACTCTCTTCCCGCCACCCCCAGCCTGACAACAAGGAGTCTGTGTCTGGTATGGCCTGGTGAGGGAGGGGATGGGGCAGGTCGGGGGTGAGGGCTGGGGGAGTGCCCACCTTTGTGGACAGTGGATGGAGGTGGAAGAGAGAGGTGCCCCACGATAAAGGGGAAACTGCTAAAACCCCAAACCCCACCAGCTAGCCAGCAAGCAGAACCTTGAGGGATAAAAGTGGCCCTATTGAATCTCCCAGGGGAGGCTACCGCCCCCTCTCCAGCTCCCAGTGGAGTCTGGGGCCCCCAACCCTACCCCCACTGGAGGCAGCCCCCAGGGCCTCAGGCCTCGGGCTAGAGAAATGCTAATGGCGCCCGCCCCTTCCAGAATAGCTAGTGTCAGTCTGGTCTCTCAGGAGCTGACAGCCCTGCCCACTCGCATTTCTGATGAGGCGTCCAGGGACAATAGCCCAGGCTGTCCCCTCCGAGAAGACCACCCTAAGCTTTTCAGTAGGCCTCCATCTGCCCCCACAGCGGCATCCCCCATGCCTGTATACCCACACAAAGGCTTTATTTTTTTAACAAATGAATTTGCAATAAAAAAGGAAGAGGAATCTGTGGAGATGGGCTTGTCCTCAGGCTGGTGGCTGGACTGAGCTTTGAGGCCACTGAAGCCGCTGCTGCCGGGAGCCCTGGGAAACACAGCCCAGGGAGAATTCCAGGCTTGGCTGGGTCACAAAGGGGAGCTTGGCTTGGGAAGGGAGAAGCTATGGGTCTCCAGGAAAACCCCCATCTTAGCGGGGGTGGGGAAGGAGAAGGGCAGACCTCAATGGGTGCCCAGTGTCTTCCAGAATGTTCTTAAGGATTAAGGCCAGAGGGTGCTGGGCAGACACAAAATCTGGACACGCTGGGCGTGACAGCCAGGAAAATATGGGGCGAGTTCCTTCCACCAGATGAGGGAAGGCCGCCTGAGGCAATGTGGACTCATTCAGGGCTCCCACATCACGGACAGCTCACAATGGTCCTCATCAATGGTCTGGTCTGAGAGTTTCCACGGTCAAAACAAAGGTGGAACCCTCTTTGAACTTCAGTCCGAGACAGCCTCTTTCTGCTGCAGCAGGGTCACCCGAATCGGGTTCTTCCAATATAATTTGGTGCACCCAGTGCCCAGCGGCCATTGAAAGAGGGAGCAGGGCTCACATATCCAGCCCCATCGGGAGCAAGGCCCAGCGTCTTACCTCAAACTCTCTGACTCCTTCAGAACTTCCACCTTGGACCCCAGAATGGATGTCACCTGGAAGTGTTGGAGCTGAAGCAGAAAGCACGGAGAGCTGGTGACCTCTCCTGGGGAATTCCAGGCCCGCACCAGCACCGGCACCACCTAAAGTAGTTCTGGGACCCAGCATGACCCATGTGGAGGGTTAGGCAGAGAGATCCATCCCTTGAGCGGAAGAGTCTAGTGTTGGGCTGGTAGATGCCGAATGTCTCTAGGGATAAATAATTTAAATAGCCAGGCACCTCTGCTCCCCACTCAATGTACAGAAAGTTCTCATTAGCTTCTCGTTTTGCCCCAAAAGGCCCTGGAACTTTGAGTGAGAGATTCATACAGCTCCACGGTATAAACAAAACTAAGTTAGGATTGCAAAGCAAACCAAAAAAAAAGCGTTGTCATCTTGAATAAAAGACTTGGATGTCCCAGTACCACCATGGTTGCACGTGTGTGTTTGGGAGGGTCAGTGTGTGTGTGTGTACTTATTGCAAAAGATGGGCTCTCTAAAGATGAATAAAATCACCCCTAAAACCTGCATCCCTAACCTGACTGGTTTCATTTTTTTTTTAATTAGAGTATTTTGAGAGCAGTTTTAGGTTCATAGCAACACTGCAGGGAAGGTACAGAGATTTCCCGTATGCTCCCTGCCCCCAAAGATGCACAGCCTCCCCAGTATCAACATCCCCACCAGCGTGGAACATTTGTTACAACTGATGAACTTACACTGACACGTCATTACCACCCAGAGCCCGTAGTATACATATGGGTTCCTTGGTGTCATACATTCTATGGGTTTGGAGAAATGTATGATGACACGTATCCACCGTTACAGTATCACATGGTTTCACTGCCCCGTGATTTCACTTTTTCAAAGTAACCAGTCCTCATTCATCTTGTCTAAAACCTAATTCCCCTGTCTCCTCAACACCAGCTCCCCTCCCCCGACAGAGGGTCTGTCACCTCCCCAGTAACCCAGGCTTGAAATCTTAGGGTGAAAGACAGTTCCACTTGACACTGAGATGTGGTCCAGGACAATGAATCCCTCGGCCACATTACCAATACCGCTTATGTCTGACCACTTGCTTGAAAGCTATCCATGATAACTGTATTTTTAAAGCATATGTTTTAAAAGTTTAGGAGAGACAGGAGAGAGATTTTTTTTTAAAAAAAAACTACTGAACTGCACACTTTAAAAGGGTAAACTGGGGCTTCCCTGGTGGCGCAGTGGTTGAGAGTCTGCCTGCTGATGCACGGGACACGGGTTCGTGCCCCGGTCCGGGAAGATCCCACATGCCGCGGAGCGGCTGGGCCCGTGAGCCATGGCCGCTGAGCCTGCGCGTCCGGAGCCTGTGCTCCGCAACGGGAGAGGCCACAACAGTGAGAGGCCCGCGTACCGCCAAAAAAAAAAAAAAAAAAGGGTAAATTGGGATTTCCCTGGTGGTGCAGTGGTTAAGACTCCACGCTCCCAATGCAGGGGGCCCGGGTTCTATCCCTGATCCAGGAACTAGATCCCACATGCATGCCGCTACTAAGAGTTCGCATGCCGCAACTAAGAAGCCCGTGTGCCGCAACTAAGGAGATAGCAAGCCACAACTAAGGAGCCCTCAAGTCACAACTAAGGAGCTCAACTGCCACAACTAAGGAGCCCATGTGCTGCAACTAAGAAGTCAGAGAGCTGCAAATAAGGAGCCTGTGAGCCACAACTAAGGAGCTTGCCTGCCACAACTAAGACCCGACGCAACCAAATAAATACATAAATAAATAAATATGAAAAAAAGGTAAACTTTATAGGGTTTTTACACTAAAAAAATAAAAACTAATTTTTTAAAAGGGAATGAAGTCCTGGGGACTTCCCTGGCAGTCCAGCGGTCAAGACTCCATGCTCCCAATGCAGGGGCATGGGTTCGATCCCTGGTCGGGGAACTAAGATCCTACATACCGTGTGGTGTGGCCAAAAAATTTTTAAAAATAAAAATATACACTTTGAATTAAAATACAACACCAACATATTTTAAAAATAAAGGTGGGGGCGACTTCCCTGGTGGTCCAGTGGTTAAGACTCCACACTCCCAATTCAGGGGGCCCAGGTTCTATCCCTGGTCGGGGAACTAGATCCCACATGCATGCTGCAACTAAGAGTTCACATGCCACAACGAAGAAGCCTGCATGCTGCAACAAAGACCCGGCGTGGCCAGAATAAATAAATAAATATTTAAAAAGAAACAAAGCTGGGAAGTATCATATTAAAAAAAAAAGGGGGGGGGGGTAATGACGTTCTGCTACATGCTACAATGTGGATGAACCTTGAAGACCTTATAAAAGGTGAAAGAAGCCAGACACAAAAGGTCACAGGTTGATCGTGAGTTGTTTGTGATAAGTGACTGCACTTACATGAGACATCTGGAATCGGCAAATTCACAGGGACAGAAAGTAGAATAGAGGTTACCAGGGGCTGTGAGAAGGAGAAGAGGGGAGTTAGTGTTTAAGGGGTACAGTGCTTCTGTTTAGGATGATGAAATGTTCTGGATACGGAGAGTGGTGATGGTTACACAACATTAGGAATATACTTATTGCTACTGAATTGTACACTTGAAATGGTTAAAATGGTAAAGTTTATGTTATGTACATTTTACCCCAATAAAAAAAAATTTTTTTTAATCAAAATAAAAAGCAGCCAGGCACAAAAGAGAACATCCTGTATGAGTCCATTAAAGAGAAGTTCAGGGACTTGCCGGGTGGTCCAGTGAGTAGGACTCTGAGCTCCCAATGCAGGGGGCCCAGGTTCGATCCCTGGTCGGGGAACTGGATCACACGTGCCATAACTAAGAAGCCTGCATGCTGCAACTAAGAGTCCACATGCCGTAACTAAGAAGCCCGCATGCCGCAATGAAGACCCGGCCGCAGCCTAAATAAATAAATAAATATTTAAAGAGAAGTTCAAAGGCAGGCAAAACTAATCTATGGTGCTAGAACTCAGGAGAGCCTTTGGCAGAAGTGACTGGAAGAGAGAATGAGGGCGGTTATGGGGGTTTCGTGATCTGGGGGTGGCTACAGAGGAGTGTTTAATCAGTGAAATTCATTGTTCTCAATACTTATTTTCACCCTTTTCCCTCAAAAATATATTTAATTGATTGCATCCTGAGTGGTTGTAAATTTTCCATTTATGCCACAAATAGATTTTTTTGGTTTTTGTTTTGGCTGCGCCACGTGGCTTGTGGGATCTTAATAGCCCGACCAGGGATTGGACCCGTGCTCCCTGCAGTGGAAGCGCGGAGTCCTAACCACCGGACTGCCAGGGAAGTCCCTGTGCCACAAATCTTTGAAATGAGCCAATTCTTTCTACCCTTGCCAACATTAGACATTATCAATTTTATTAATGCTAAAAACAAAGCAAACAAGCAATTAAAACCGCAGTACACAATTTGCCTTGTGAAAACTGGCCCTGCAGAAAAAACAACTACTAGTGTTTTGATAGACATTAAAGGACAGCAAAGACTAGTAAAGTAGCAGCTCTGACCAGGACTAACATTTCGGATAGTTTAAGAATTCAGAGGCAGCTCAGAGCCACCCCATAAAAGACCCCATCCGGAGGTCTACATGAAACATAACAAAAGAGTTTGGGTTTTGGTTTTTGTTTGTTTGTTTGTTTGCCATGCGCCGCCCGGCTTGCAGGATCTTAGTTCCCCAACCAGCCCTGGCAATGAAAGCGCCAAGTCCTAACCACTGGACAGCCAGGGAATCCCCCAAAGCAGTTTTGAGAAACTCTTGTCAGCAAGTGCTCCAGCCAGTTCAAAAACGCTTCCCAAGTAGGACATAAGACTTTAATGAAAACTAAGAGACCATTTAGGCAGGGTGGGAGGGTTTGTCCAGGAAACACATGAGAGTCATCAGAAAGGGGACAGAGAAGAATGGGCAGGCATTTCCACTTGCAAGAACATGGAGGAACTTCAGGAAAATCTTGATGAAAAAGAAACCTACAACCACCAAGAGAATCTAGCTCATAATTCCACCTTGACTGAAGCCAGTACTAACACCACCACTGCCCAGTATAGGCATACCTCGTTTTATCGTGCTTCCCAGATATTGCTTTTTTTTTTTTTTTTTTTTGCGGTACACGGGCCTCTCACTGTTGTGGCCTCTCCCGTTGCGGAGCACAGGCTCCGGACGCACAGGCTCAGCGGCCATGGCTCACGGGCTTAGCCGCTCCACGGCATGTGGGATCTTCCCGGACTGGGGCACGAACCTGTGTCCCCTGCATTGGCAGGTGGACTCTCAACCACTGCGCCACCAGGGAAGCCCAATGTTGCATTTTTTATTGTACAAACTGAAGGTTGCATCAAGCAAATCTATCAACACAACTTTTTCCAAGAACATTTGCTCATTTTGTCTCTGTGTCACATTTTAGTAATTTTAAAAAGATTTCAAACTTTTTCATTATTATTTTGTTAGCATGAGCTGTGTAAGTGATCTTTAATGTTACTATTAGATAGTACAACTCACTGATGGCTCAGATGATAATTAGCATTTTTTAGCAATAAGATACTTTTTATTTAAGGCATGTACTTTCTTTACACATCATGCTATTGCATACTTAACAGACTACAGTATAGGGTGAACATAGCTTTGATATGCACTGGGAAACCAAAAAACTTGTGTAACTTGCCTTATTTCAATATTTGCTTCATTTCAGTGGCCTGGAACCGAACCTGTAGTATCTCCGAGGTGTGCCTATACAAAGGAACCCAGGGGAGGCCTGGAGGCCCCAACCAGGTCTTCGGTGTCCACCCTAGTCTGCTCCTTTGTCTACAAGACCTTAACTTGCTCTGACTTTGCTCACCCCTGGGACTTGCAGCTTCCCCAGTTGTGACTCTCAGTCCTCCCAAGGACACAGCCTGTCCCCATCCTGTGGCTCTACTTGCTCCAAGAAATACCCTTCACTCCTTC